ATGAAGCTGAAATTTATAAGGACCCTTAATTGGGTATTTGCGAGGAAAACATAAATTTCCAATAATAAGCGACAATAAATACAATTTCCCTTGCCATTCCTGATATTGTATGAAAAAACTTTATATAAAAGCATTTTTTATGTACGAGGGCGGGATGATAAGTAACTAGCCTAATAAGAAAACACTTAACTTTCCCTAATAAAATTAATTTTATTTTTCGACATAGTCTCCGTGAACCTCTACGCACTTATTCCATCTTCGTTCTAAAGCAGTAATGCCTTCCATAAAATGATTTCTTTCGAGGCCTGCAAAATACTCCTCTACAGCGGCTATGACTTCACCATTTGTGGCTTTCTGTCCGCCCAAAAATTTTTTGAGCTTAGGGAATAAGTGGAAATCTGATGGCGCTAGATCAGGCAAATAAGGTGGGTGGGGCAGCAAATCATACTTCAATTCGTTGATTTTTGCCATGGCTTTAACACATGTGTGAACCCTAGCGTTGTCTTGATGGAAGATGTTTTTTTTTCGCCAAACCTGGTCGTTTTTGCTGAATACATTGATGAAGCTTATCTAGAAGATTAGCGTAATATTTTCCATTAATTGTTTGACCTTTAGGAAGGTAATCTATCATCAAGATCCCATCTACATCCCAAAATACGGAAGCCATCACTTTTACAGCCATGGCTTTTTTTGGAGCCGGGCATCCCGATTGAGTCCACTGTTTTGATTGAATTTTTGATTCTGGCGTGTAATGATGAACCCATGTTTCATCTGTTTTACAAATCGACGTAAAAATTCGGCCTTATTACTCTGAAAACGGTCCAGACATTCTTATGAGTTTTGCAGCCGAATCCTTTTTTGAGCGTGCGTAAGCAATAGCGGCACCTAACGGGCCGATAACTTTTTCATATTAAATTCCTCACTTAGGATATGATGTACCCGTTCTTTTGAGATACCTGTAGTGTTAGCTATTTCAGATAACTTCAATCGTAGCTCTGCTAAAACCATATCATGTACTTTCACGACCATTTCTGGAGTCGTGACGCTTTTTGGACGTCCGGGGCGGGCTTCATCTTGGACACATGTACGACCGCGTTTAAACTCAGCCACCCAGTTTTTTACTGTGGCATAAGAAGCAGCACATTCACCCAAAACATTCTTTAACTAGTCATAGATATCTTTCCCCTTCATGCCCTTCAAATGAAGAAACTTTATCACCGCTCTTTGTTCAATTTTATCCATTTTGAAAACAGTTGACGAAATATATTTTCAAATGACAAAAAATCAATAACATTTTCGCCCCACCAAATTCAAATTTAATCATCGCGCCCTCGTAGTTAGAGTACAACATTTATAGCGGGTAACAACGATACCTGCACTTGAAATAATATAATTGGGTTGTTAAGGGGAATTTGCGGCCAGCGGATATTTTTTGACGTATATTAAGCTAGCAGACCATGGTCTCAAAAAAGCACAAAAAATATTGTGCTTTTCTTACTTAGTACAACGAACGAACGCAACACACTTGGAAACTTTATCATTGTCAGCCTTACCATTGACATTATAGATATTTTCTCAGAATGCGTATTTCTGTTGAATGAACAAATAAATACTTAACATTAATATCTTATATTACAAGGGTTCCGTTTTTTGCCATTTGTCTACGGAACCCTAAAAAGGTGGCTGGTCCAGAATGGATCAGAATTGCAAAGGATAGAGGCAAATGGAAATCTTTAGAGGAGGCTTATGTCGAAAGACAAGCTGTTTCTAAATATAATGACCCGAACACTGATAATTTAGCTAAAAATCATAAAAAAAGAAGTTAATTAGATTAAAAAATGTTTTATAAGTTTAACAACATTAAAGGCTAATTTTATTTTATTTATTTATTTATAAGTATCCAATACCTATGAAATAAGGTACACTCGTCGCTAAAATATTTTACATCACAAAGGCCGTAAGGAATCACCTTAGAATATATGAATTATAATCTATACATCAGTAAATCAATACATTATTTGAATACTTATTTGCTCACAAACTGAACCGATAATATTTGGCAAAAACGTGTGTGTCGACATCTATCAGGGATTTTTGCTGTTGTTATTACTATTTCCAGTATTATTGTTACATTACTGAGAACAAAGGAAACACACGATACTGTACTGTTCCTTTTAGTTGTAAACTGTTGTGAAATATTCCGGGTTCCTGGGAGTGCGTGACGTGACGTCTGCATTGGTTGGGCGTTCTTTATGAATCGATTTGCTTTCATTCTTCTGTGCGGCATGACGGCAAGCTCAAACAATGGTCGAGGATCGTGCTCTATGGTTTATTCGTTCATTCATATATTATTCCATTTTAAAATTGGCTTAATTGTTTAATATTGTTCACATTTTTTCATAAATATTTTCTAAATATGTATCGCAAATTACGCAAACTCTAGTTTTCAATAGTTTCGTAGAGGCCGGAACTATTAACTTGCTTCCTAATTATATAATTATGTATAATTATTAATTCTTAAAATTCCTATCTGTAATGGTAATGATGAGTTTTTGGTAACTGCTTTTACTCAATTCAAACTTTAATCTATTACAACAGCAAATTAAGAGGAATATAATATGTTCCACAATTTCTAGAAAAAAATCTACATAAGCCTTACTTCCCATTGCAGGATCATCTCGAAAACCGGGTTTTCCTTTTTTTATCTCTTGACAATTTATGTTTTATTTCAGCGTCGCATTAAGGTAACAGTTCGTGCGGGTGCATAAAAATACCCTATTTTGTTCACGCGAAGGTGAACATATTTTGCTTTTCATAGAACGCGCTTTGAAAGTCAAATTTCTCTTTGTATAGTTGTCTTACGGAATCTGTATTCTGAAGAGAAGTCAAATTGATTGTGTAATTCCAGGGAGCGTTATATGGGCGAACGTAATTAGCACATTGTATTACCGTCTGGTAGTAATTTAACTCAATATGTGTGAAATTGCGAAGTTGACGAAGCCCCTTTGTTGAGCCTCTATTGACTATTCAAATGGAGTAATTTGATTATTTCATGTTGTTCAAAGCATTAATTTATTGACATTATATGTAAAGAACATAATCAATCATAAATCAAATATTATCAATACTATAATTTAAGCTGTATTTTAAATTGTATGTATTAATTCTTAAAGTGAAAGAAAGTATATCGTATCTACTGTATATTAATATAATTACTCACACTTTATTTAATTGTGTACTAGCCACGTTTTGTACATACTATATGAAGTATGTATTTGGTACGTATCTTATTTATTTCTAGATTAGGTATACCTACATAAACGCAATTTAGTTAATTTGAATTTCCCTGACAAATATATTTATTACCCATTGTAAAATCATGGTTTATTACTTTTAAGGTGGTAAAAGAAATTCGGAATCGGCACTGCAATTGTATTAAATAAACGCCTCAGACAAATGGCCATATTTTTTTTCTCAGGAACGCGTCAACTTAACATTGGCGACAACAATTATATGCACCTTATATTTTTCTCTGTATCTTAATTTTTATGTCATTGGAATGTAATAATATCAATTTAATTCTTCTTTATTCCTTCATATTATAATCAACCAATGAACGTTTAAGAGCTCTTTCACATTTTTGCAAAAAATCGTAATTTTTGAGCGCCTCCTTTACCCCCTTAATCTCCAATGTACTCCTAATTTACCCCTCTTTTGTGGGGGCCCCTGGGCCGTAGCCCCACCAGTCTTGCCTTAATTCCGGCCGTGATCACGGGAGACCGGAATACGTTTAGAAACCCGTCCCACGTCGTCCCGGGCGTCGGCGGTGGCGCTCCCCCTAGCCTACAAAGGCCCTGCTATTTGTGTGCACTCCAAAGATATAAACACACTATCTGATGTTGCCATTGACCTTTCACTAGCACGCTGATAAACACTCGATTCAATGAATGTTATTTTTCGTTCGCGTTTCGTCATTTCAATAGAATTGAAATATAAAAGATAAGTATTGTAATTGGTCGTTTTCTAGCCCGCGCCGCGGCGGGATTATCTAGATCTGGGGGCTACTCTCGTAGCCGAAACGAACTTTCGGTAGCGAAGTTTAAACGAAATATGATTTGGTCAACTTAGGTCATACCTGCTTAATTTGAACGATAAACTATCAAATAATAAAACTAGTTTTAACGGGTTTTAGCTGATTTTTTTTTCGCATCCGCAGTACATCTAACCCGTTAAAACTAGTTTTATTTAATGAGTGATGTGCGTGAAAACCTAAGAAACAAATAAGATAAACTATCAAATTCAATTTTTCGTTGAGTTGGCTTAAATAATCTAATTCTCAATATATTTTCGGGCGAACGAATATTATTATAATTAGAGACGAATAAAAAATATAGTAAGAAACGTGCGAAGTTTAGATCGAAGTTTCGTTTTACGTTGAATAGTTAGGCCTTCCTGTTATTTTTTAATTCGAATACGTTTAATTAGAATAAGCGTTATTACGCTCGGTGGAAAACAGTTACCTTAATATAAAGTATATTTTATCGAAAGCAGTCGTCTAGATTAGTGTTATTCAAAATCCCTGTTAACATTTAATGTAAGACGTAAGACGTAATCAAACTCTCTCTCTTTCATAAATGTTTCAAGTTTATTTGGGATACGGTGAATAACATTACTATCACAAATGAGCATTAAGCAAATTTCATCATTTCATTTGTTGATAAAATCTGATAAGAATGTTTTGAAGTCTGGTACACAAGTCATTTACAAAGATATGTAACAAACCCTGGAAAAATATATTCACTTATTTTATTACACAATTAGTAACTAATTGCGTACTATCGCTTGCAGATGACAAACATTTCAGAAAAGAAACTGCGTCTCTCAAAACACCTTATTCTTGAATAAAATTAACCTTTTTGATTTAGTGTGTGACCTTATCATCCCCTTTTCCTAAGATTCTATTTTCGTACGAGTAAAATGAGTCGTCTTTTGTCCAGCAGACATCGAAGCCGGGATCTGGCGGTGACCTGATGGCAGACCTGCACGCCAAGCTATCCATGCGCCGTCGTGGCATCTCTGGAGCGGAGCGCGCGTCGGCCTCCTCTGGCTCAGTGCTGCATGCTCTGGCCAGCGTCATACCCGAGCCTGGTGACTCCTCCCCGTCGCGGTCCCCCCCCGACAGTGACTGGGAGTAACTATCAACTCTACGCCTATACACATAACATACAATTCACCGTACCATCGCCGCCAGTTAAAAGCTATGCTATCTAAATATGCGCAGCTTAGCCGTTTCGGCCTATCCTTCATACCCTAACCAGCTTTATCCTCAAGACCGGAGACTTCTCCCTACAGCGGTGTTCTTGACTCTGCGACTGGGAGTAACTTTTAACTCTATATGCTTACACATAAGACACTATTCACTGTAGCATCACTTGGGTGTCTTGATACCATTTATTTTTTGCTGAACTCCAAAACGGAACTGGTAAAGAAACTGCACGCCGATGTAATATATCTTCCAACATAATTGCCAATTGAAAATGTCAGCTATCTATAAAAGATAGGGTTGCCACATCAACGATAATAAATCAGTATTCATGAGCACCTCAATACTTTCGTAGGTGCCTTTATGCCACGTAGGGTAAACAACCCAATCATTGGCACTCTTCCTATTATTGGCACTTTTGAGTTTAATTCGAAAAAAACAGGAAACAATAGATTGTAGGAATAATGCTGGCCATTTTCAAATTTTGAAACCATACTAGGATTTTCTTTTTAATATGTAACGACCTTGAATAATCTATTGTCTCCTTGTTTTTCCGAATTAAACTCAAAAGTGCCAATAATAGGACGAGTGCCAATGATTGGGTGGTTTCCCCTATTGGTAGTGGTTTCCTATACGTTGAATTTTAAAATTGTCACCGATTAGAATGCGAATATCAGAATTTTAAGGTCTTCAAACTATAAACGATAGTTTTGGTAACCCTATACAATTAAATAAGTACATAAACGAAACCATAAATTTCCATTTTCTGCAGTGTAATCTGTCAGTGTGTAATAGCTAACATGTATGTATAAAGATTTTCAAACCACTTTCATTGTGTAAGCTGCAAGACCTAGACATTTAATCGATACAATCACGCGAAATTAGTTTGTCGTGTCTACGAATAGGATGTATGTTTACAATCGATGCAACCTTGTTTATATAATCTTGATTGCTTCTGTAGATACAATGTTTAAAAGTATACAATTTTGTAATGGTTTCTCTGCGATTAATAAATGAAAAGCTTTTTACCACTTAAATAGCCATTTGAATTTATAACATGAGGGTGATCAGGCGTACGATGTAATTTGTTTGGCGTGCGGGCTCTCCATCATTGACAATAAGATAATTCTTGTTTACTAGCAAGTATTTACAAAGAGATCGGAAAAGGGCCTTCGTTCCGGGAGGTTATTACGATAATCGCATTTCCCACTAGTGGCTATCTCGCTTTCGTTTCCGAGAAGGTGCGCGGGCGCATTAAGCGTTCCCCGCAAACTATCAACTGGTTCGACTAATCACCCGATTTCCAGAATCGAGAAACAGATAGAAGCGCATAATCATACCTGCCTACTTAAGCGGAAGTCATCATTTCATTTACTATTTTATTATTCTATGATGATTTTTCGATTGTTACACCTGTTTTTTTTTGCTAATGCTCTTCGTGATTATATAATTAAGTAATGACACTTCACCTTATGACTAAATGGCTTCAACGAATTTTGTAATGTTGCGAGATCTGAGTAGAGACGTAATAAAAACAGATAATTACGACCGGAGCGCCCTGTTTCCGGACGGTCATAGAGATAGAGTATTTTTTTTAATTGTATGGTTCGATTGAATGTTACGGACGTTATAATACTATTTTTGTTGTTTTAATGTATATTTTCATCTTTATCGGTTTAATTATAAAACAGTAGTGAAAAAGCATGACATAGATCTGTTGATAAAGTTGAATGATATGTAGATTGTTAAGACCATGTGATGTCTGTGCCTAGAGTAGGGAGGTGCTAAGTATACATTATTACTATAACATATATCTATAAGGATTTTATCTCTATTTATTTTCGCTTTTGTTATCTGGAATATGATATGATAATAAAAAGAGTGTACAGAGCTTTACTGTTGTACGTTGGCAATCAATCGAGACGTTGTAGAAAGTCTATTGGCTGACTTGATTTGGAAATAATCTATTAAAATTTGGATTAGATTTATATAAAAATGTTATTGTTTAATACAACTTTGTTACTTTGATGACTATATTCGTTGTCTATATTGTTATTTCTGAGGCAGTGCACCGACCGGTCAGCAATTATCGGAAATGGTTAGGCGTTTATGGAATTACCAACAAGCGATAAAATGTTGAACAAACTTCTTGAAATATACAATTTTATGTGAGCATGTTGCGTAGCACCCACACACATGACGTAAATGTATATCGGGAGAGTAATGTAGCGCGTAGAAATTAGTTTTATTACGACAATATCTATTTTCATCATAACTCTTACTCTCTCCTTTTAATTCAAGATATAAATAAATATTACGTTTTTGGTATATTATATAAAAATTGTCTAAGAACATGTCGAGTTACATTCTCTATGATAAATGTTTGAGTATAGTCATCATCACCAGCCTCATAATGAGAAGTGCAGATTGGTAGGTGCACGACCACAGGGCAGCCAGGACCAATTGAATACAAACCAAGTAGTAAATATAGACGATTTACGATACTGCATCGAACTGATTCTCTTTCTATATTAAACTATTTCACTGTCACGTCTCGGGTAAATTTAAAATTAGATTATATTCAAAGCTCACTTATGCTTAGTTGGGCGTTTTTTTTTCCTCTCTGTGTAATATTTACCGACGGGATTGTATTATGTAGGTACAAGGGATGAGTGTGTTCGTTTCGCATGCAGATCGCATGATTACGGTGAGGATGAAACGAGATTAAGCCCAGTGCGTGTGACGTGCCGGGCCTGCCCAAGGGCCCATTAGGTTGGACGTCCGTCGGTCGGCTAGAGCTCTCTTTATTTCGGCCGCATTTGTATGCAACCATCGACTGCTGTGCTGCTTACAGTTAGTTCCCATGAAAGTAGCTGTAGGCTGTAGGCGCGGCTAAGGCTAATACTCGTCAAACGTTCAAAACCAACTTCTAACCGTCCCAAACATTTATTGCGGTCAGCGTATGAATAATGTAGTTCGTTATCCAATGTTAATTGTTTCGGTTGAGAAATGTTAGTAAATCGGATATATTGACTTGAATGTTACACACGCATATTATACGTTAATTTGTAAATGTAGGTATATTATCGCGTTAATTATAATTACCTATTTAATAAATTGATATAAAATTGCGTCTCGAATAAATACGCAAACAGGGAAATAACACAAGTTTTTCGAGACTGCTATTTACAAATCTGTAGGATTACAATGACCCCAATTAAAACGTTTAACTATATAGAGAGTTTAAAAATTTTAATTGAATTGCACGGCCGTTAAAACGAGGGTAATTTCTTAATGTGCAATTAAAAACGAATTAAATTTAATGTAGAGTGTTGTAAGTTTGCTGAGTAATGTTATTGTTAAGTAAGTGTCTGTCCAGTGTTCATCATAAATTAATGTGCAGTTTCAATTAGTCAATGGAGATTTTGTAACACGGGTTTGTATCAAGAGCCAGCTCTTGCCTATAGCGTTAATCAAAAATCGAATGCTTATTAGTATCGCACGTCTATCGTTTATGTTTCAATAACGATTCTATACGCTTTAATGTTACACAAAAGTATTTTAATAACCTGCAGTCGACCTTTTCTAAGAATTTAATATATTCATTTTACCCAATAAATTTAAGTAACGCCAACACTTCATTATCTTCGATGAGATCACAGTTAATTGGGCACGATATTTAAAGTAGTTGTTTAAAAGGAATGATTTCGCATATTTCCGAAAATTAATAACCTTAAATATGCAATATATTTGATCAAGGGTGTGTATACGACGTCGATTGATGCTTTGATTAATTACGTGTGCCTGGGCCGTACCATGAACTCGCGGACTCGAACACGATTCGATTGCAATGCTTGAAGCGGGATTAGAGTTTCCAAATCGTGATGTCTAAAATGTCGGAATTTTTGGATTGTGGTAAATGATATGTTTATCGTCATGTTTGTCGGGAGATTTCGTTATTGGTCGGGAATTGGACATCACATAAAATGTAGGGAGAATTCAACGATTCCTACCATCTGGCAACCCTCAGCGGGATCCATGCCGCTCTCAATTAGGTTTATCTCTCATTTTATATCACGTATCACATTGATTATCAATATTGTATTGGGTAGAAATAGTTCAGGGTACGGCCCCTTATCTAAATTGGATCTGGGCACGTCATGTATAAATTTAACGGAAATTATTTTCCCATAGGAGCTATCGTATACTCGTATACAGTTACGCTTGCACATCTGCCACCGTTTATACATATTATATTTCGTAGCCTAATAGTTTTAAAAGTTCCGATGTTGCCTGTAGATTTTGTATGTAAGTTATATATAGAGTCCGCTGCTTGAACTACGTTTTGCTGGTGATAACATTAATTTGTCATCAAATTACGTACCTACGATAGATAGCGTTATCAACGTTTAAAAAACCTTACTAATAAACAATAAGAATGGGTTATATCCTAATCGTCATTTTTGTACCGAGTTTTCAGTAATTTTCTAAACAAAGAGACATTTTTTGTAAGCAAAGAGAAAAAATCATTTTTTTTACATTTAATTGTTATATGCATTGCTTATTCTCTGTTTATTAGTATGGGAAGTAATTGTATAGTATAGTGTAAGGCTATAATTATTTTTATATTTTAATATTAATATTTGCCTTTATAATTAATTTTAATTAAGTTTTGACTGATTGCTTTATCGTGTTATGAAATGTTTGTAACTAGATCATATTATATTTTACACTCCATGCATTTTGTAATGTAATGCAAATATTGTAACTTTAATTAGGTACAACCAATAATAGTCAACTAATTTTTAAGATGGATTAGTGTTAGCTAATGGTCAATACCTGTTAATTCATAAGTAAGTGTTAATTATTTATTTGCAGCGAATATTATAAAACTTTTCAGATTTATACCATTGTAATAGTTAATTTACTTAAAAGCAAACACCTTTTGATAATTAAACTAATCCGTCTGATTATTGTAAAGACTTGTAAATAATTGATGTACCTATGGGTAACGCGATGCGAATGCCACGCGCATGCCTGCTGTTGCATTGTACGGCGTTATGTTTTAAACCTTTACATGTTTTAAATATAAGATTGAAATGAATTTCCAATGATATAATGTATGATACGTCAGTAAATAATGAAATCTGGAAAATATTTAATTGTTTTACTTTCCAATCCCCAAAAGCTGTTAAATCAATTATGTCTAAATCTCATAATCGTATTTAGAGAAGCGGCAAGTGTTTCCTCGTAAAACGAATAATGCCGGCAATTACGGGTCACCGACTTCTCTTTCTCGCATTCTGATTATTTATAACGGCAGAGGCGCCTCGAAAGCTACGCGTTTCGGGTTTTACACGGCATTGCCCCAGAATAACGCCTGCTGAGATTTCTCGGTATCGCCGACTCGGGTATTACGGAATCGGAAACAGAGATTCTGGGAAATTGCTGGCGTCAGCGCGACGCAGCGCACGAGGACACCCGAACGACGAGCCGAAGAGCGAGGTCGAGGGGTCGACTACGTAAGCGCGACCACGATTCGAATATGCGAGTGCCCCCTACCTACCCAACCGCACGAAACTTGACGCCTTGATGTCTTTGAACGTTGAAATTTACAAAATAAATGCATCCTTTGGGTAAAGTGCACATTTGGCGTATTCATAAACAGATTTCAAAAAGTTACGCCTGTATTTCCTACGTTACAGTTTAGATTTGCAATATTTTTTTAAAGGGTGGCAATCAAGCATGTTATTCAGGTCTGATTATAGACACTTGCTATATCAGAGCGTGATCTTCTGTAAGGTAGTGGTATCACATCTCCAGAGGGGAGCTCCAAATCCAGTGGGAATCTGCTATCGCTTCTTTTTTAATTAAAAAAATCAAAATATAATGTGATATATGCGAATTAAAAATATGTATCCGCTTAAATAAACAGTATAACTAAAAACTTGGCTCTGAATTGTAATATTTATAAAATAACTAGCAAACCCGGCGAACTCCGTTTCGCCACCAGATGGCTTCGTTTTATGTAACATTTCGTTTGGTGATTAAAAGATTGTTTTTTAATTTTTCCTGAATTTTCTTTGCTATAAACCTCACGGAGCCCGAGACCTTTCCAACGAAAGCAAAACCGTGGAAATCGGTTAGTGCGTTCTGGAGTTATAGCGTCAGGAAGGAAAACCCGACTTATTTTTATATAGTAGATGAGAATTCCTGTCCTTACGGTCGAAATTAGTTCGCAGCTTATGTTAGTGAATGCCAGTATTCGGGCCCCAGATAAGAGCATTTTGTTCCGGGATTGCGATGGTGTCCCTAACTCTGAGCGAGAAGAGCGATCTCAAGGGGAAGGGCTCCGATCACGCGAACGAGGTTCGATCGATGACGCTAAAGAGGACCGATGGAGGCTATCAACAAGGCACCTGCCTGGCCCTGACAGAGTGCCGGGTTAGTTGGATGGAATACAATGGTACCTAGCACCTTGGAGAGCACCTGAAACATTCTTACCGCCTGTTTGACTATTGCTTTAAAGGGAATGCCGGGACAAGAGTCTCGGTGTATTACGAAGCGGGAAATCTGCAATAAGTGTTGATAATTCTAAATAAGAGATTATTCTTAATTAGTTCAGCAGTTTAAGCGTGAAGAATACTTTAGATAGATAGACAAACTTTGAATGGTTTATCATTTTAAGGTTCGGGTTGAGTTGACCCATAGACATAGAGTCTACCATGTGTCTTTAAAGGGGTAGACATGTAGACTCATAATGAATTCAATGCATAGAACATGGATAGAGACACCTTTACCAAAACCTTAAACTTAAGTAGGTACTATAAAGTACTTTGGAGCAACCATCTCAAAATTTGACATGGCAACACTTAACTGTAAATCTTATTTTTTCGGAGTTTTTGGCGGGATTCCATCGAGTGCGGTTGGCTTCATATTTTAATTATACTTTAAATTCGTGAAATAAAATTGGTGTGATTTTGTGTAACAATCGTCTGCACAACTTCACAACAAGTGAGAACTTTATTGTAGTGTTGACTACCTCACAGAAGCTTGTTGACAAAACTGACTCGATACATTTTGTGCCAAACACTCCAAGAAACAGAATGCGTCACACCCACATTCTAATGTAAAAAAAGGAAGTTGAATATAAAAATAAGACGATGGCTGCATAGCTTTGCCTTTGCCTTTCTCAATAGGGAAGAATGGAACTAAAAAAAATTTTTGCCACTGTCAATGTGACGTGACATTTGTTGTAGTGTTGCCGAACTATCGATACATTTCATCTGAAAATTGACTGGCCTAGCGATAATATCGTGTTCTGAACAGGGCAATATGAATGAGTGCAGTACTATCCATAGTATTGTGCTAGCGAAGGATAAACTATCAATAGTATAGATTGTATTGTAACTCGTAAATAAAAAATAAATATTACCAACACCCACACCAATTAGCCTAGCCCCAAGGTAAGCACTATAAGGCTTGTGTTATGGGATATTAGGGTAACGGATGGAAAACATATATTGTGCATATATATTTATATAGAAATACATATTAAACATCCATGACTGGAGTACAAATGCTCGTATTCATCACACAAACATCTGGCCCCACCGGGATTCGAACCCGGAACCTCTCGAGTCAGCGACACCATGAAACCCAGCGTACAAACCACTCGGCCACGAAGGTCGTCAAACTATCGATTGTGGCGATAATTTAATACTATTGATAGTCTGCTAATTTTCAATCGTATTAGCTATGTTGTAACAGTAATTTAATAGATGAAAATCATAAGAGGTCAATGTATTTATCGCAGATCGGCAGTTAATGTTATTAAGAATTCAATATGCAGATTATAATTATCTTGCAAGGAAAACGATTTAAAATTCTATAGTTATACTATTATTCCTATTGTTATAACTATTCACTAATAAAACTGAATATTGTTAACAATACTATTGTACATTGGTAAACTATCGTTTGCCTAAACAATTGATATCGATAGTATCAATAGTTTATTCTTTGCGACCAACATTCTTTCATTCGAGCCCAATTGTAAGTCCTACATTTTTTTTTCTATTGATAGACTATCCATTATTAATCGATAGTCGACTATCGCTCGGCAACACTAATTTGTTGTTCCAGAGTGAATGTCAAAATAAAAGATTATTTATAAATAATTTATTGATATTAAATATTAAAACATATAAACATAAAACATCAAAAGAAGGGCACCCCTAATTTACAAATTGTAGATGTTATTTCCTAAGTCTAAAACGATGTGAACAGTAAAAAAGGACATTCTTAACATAACATTAGTAAAACATTGAATAGTTTAACATAAAGAATGGCAGCAGCATTTCAACAGCAAATATTTGCTCTGGATGCCCGTTTCAATGCTTACCGGGCACCAAACAATCCTAATTTCAGTATGTACCAAATATTTGTTTATCTGATAGAAAGTACCTACCTACTTTATTAAAGTTCATTACTTTAATATTTATGTACTTACAAATTTTCTAGAGACATTATACATAAGAAGAAGAAGTCAACTCCTAAGAGAAAACGCAAAATTCAAGGTAGTAAATAGAAATAAACAATGGGTGTGAGTCATTTCAACATTGTTAAGCCTAATGTTTTTTTTTTATTTTAGGACATAGATACCATAAAAAAGTACTTGAATCTTAGAAGTCAGCTACTCCAAAGACGCTATGGTGTTCAGGATAATATATCAATAAGTTCTGCCTCATCCCGGGCAAGATCCAGCAGTAAGGTGTGGCTTTACCTATGGTGCAGGTTGTGCATTGCACATGGGCGCAGTGGTCTCAGGGTGCTGAGTGTCACCTAGATTTTGACCACGCGCTACTGCTAACCTTGTGCAATCATTGACCCAGCACCCTCTTTACTAGAGGGCGCTGGGTCAATGATTGCACATGGTTGCTACAAGGACTAGGGACGCTTTTGGTCTTAACTATCCATCTGCTATTGTAGTAAAAAAAACTTTTTAATCATAATTTATAAAAAGATTAAAAATATGTTGATTTTATAATTTCAGGCTAGTTTGGCTATTGATGATGTATCTACAAATACTGGCAAGAAAAAGAATGATTTAACTATATCAGAAAACTATGCCTTTTCTGGAGTTCACCACATATTTGATCAGGTTTGTATAAATTTTTGAATATGAGAAATTTAAATGCATATAATAAATTGAAATCTGGTGCAATCTTGCCTATTGCACCTATAGTCCTGAGTTGGAATCCCTGAAGGGGTATCAAATTGTCTGATGAGCATAAATATTTATTGGAGGATAAGGATAGAGGATCAAGAGCTTACCTAATAACAAAATAAAAAAAAACCTTAGGACTGAATATATAACAATTTATGTATTCTCAAGTTAATTAAGATATTTTGTACAAGTTCTGCTTAAAAGATCTGATGGAGGTAAAAGATTGTTCTGTGTTGTACAGAATTTATTTGGATTAATCTCTTAGATGCAAAAATTCCATGTGCTTTAAAAGCCTGTGTTGCAGAATTCCAAGATATATATAAATTATGTTAGTATTGTTTTAGCATACTGAACAAGTGAGTGTGGTGAAGTTTGCAAACAATGACAGGTCAAAACTATGTTGTGCGTCAGATGATGGGACTGTGTCAATATGTGATGTGACCGCAACACCACCAAAAGTCAGTTTCATACTTGAAGGGCACACCAAAGCAGTTACAGGTTTGTTGTTGGTCATTATTCCTGTAGTTGATGACATTGAATAAAATCCTGCTCGAAGGACCAACAAAGCGCCAATAAATTTAATCAGTTTTTGTGGACATCTACAAGTAATCTACATTCGCTTGAAGAGTCCTTTAGTTAAATATAATTATTTTTAGCAAATTATTAAGTTAACAATATGAAAAAGATCAACCATATGGGGGTAGTCCTTATTTCGTCTATAAATTAGCTGTTTTTCTTCTTTTCTAGAGAGTTGTTAATTTCATGCGAGTATTGCTAAGTCCATTCATCATTTCTATATAACTGTAGTCATCGTCGTTGTGCCAGCGTCCATGCGACGTCGACGCGGCACGTTGGACTGCCGAACCCCGGATTTAGTGCCTGTCTACATCTCCACGTCAAATCTGGCCGTAAATTTGCAAGTTATGTCAACGCACCTGGCTGTTTTACCGCACCGTTCCACGTTGACTATATCATGATGTGGAGATGGGGACAGGCACTAACGCAGTGCTAGCATCGCGTCGTGGCGGCATCAACATTTTTTGCGAACAAGTACAATGCAAGCCGGCTAGCGCTGGCGTCGCGCCGACGACGACGCTCGAAAGACGCTAGTTAGGGTAAATGCTAGGCTATGACTAGTCGGAGACCTTTTGGGCAGACGGCGCGCTCTGTTTGTGAGAGATACCTCATCGACGGCGCCTGCCAACCGTCCGCGACCAACTCAACGAATATCTATGGTCTATGTGTAATGATGTTCTTTATGTCTATATGTAAACGTTAGGCTGCGACTGGTCTGCCTCCAACGAGTTGCTGGTAACGTGTGGGGCAGACGGCGCGCTCTGTTTGTGGGAGATACCTCACCGGAGGCGTTTACGAACTGTCCGCGACCAACTCAACGCGCCGCTTCTGTGCTGCGTGTTCCAGCCCTCTAATAACAACATGGTCATTGTATCCTTACATAAAGCGTTTTATTAGGAGTCAAAATATGATAGCGATTAATATATTTCCGTATAACCCAAAGTTTGGCATCGGAACCTTCTTGGCGTTCTAGTCATTCATTAAAACTTGGTCATTGATATGGCGTTTTAATAGACTTCAGTATGCCCCAATCGTCATTATAATCAGCTATTAATGTCCCTACTACTGGGGCACCAGTTTGCCCTAATAGGAAATTTGGGCGAAGACCAACTACACGGCCCCAAAGTGGATCAGTGGGTACTAACGACGCAAATGCAACGGGGACCAGCGGTTTATCGTGTCGCCCTAAGCATAGCATATTAGAAAATATGGAGGAGCAGCCTATGTTTTCTGTCAAAATATCACTTTATATTTTTGCTCAATTTATGTTTTTCTTTCGATTTAATAATAAAGCTAAAATGTTCAGTCAAATGTATGCATACTTAGAGCGAATTGTGAAAATTAGTCATTCTTTTTACTGATTAAACATCGTCTTCAAAGGCATTATAGCTTGACCGCAGTAAAGGCGACCCTCCCTTGGTCTGCGGGACGCGGGAGAGGGATGCGCTCGACCAATCAATCAGTAGCCGGCCGGCAATCGGCTGCCTGCAACGATAGACGTACAACGTAAGAGGTCTCGCGGATACAGTCTTGTTTCCGCTACACATGAGATCAATTCACGGCTTGCATACAACAAACGCGGAATTGCCTTGTGTTGCATAATAAAAAGTTAAGAAGACAAGCAAAGATTTTGCTCTTAAATGTGGCGAATTAAATAAATATATTATTTTATAATTAAATATATTTTCCTTTGTAACAATATGGCTAGACATCACGTTGAAATAAATGTAGGTACATATTACAATATTAAAGTCTATTTTTATGAGTAACAAATTCTTTCGTAATACTTATACAAACACTTTTGAAATAACAATATCTACGAAAATTTAAATATCCAGAGATCTCACCGCGTCTATAATGCCGTTTTTACTCGTGCACACCCGCCGTCTCGCGTCCCACGGACCATCAGAAGGGTCGGCATCAGCGGTCAAGCTCTAGCTGTTAGCAAAATCTTCTAAAATGTGTGCCAGCAATATATTTTCTTTAACTGATTTATTTAAGGCTGGTAATGCCAGAGGCATGGTTGCAGTTCTCAATATTTCTACTGGAATCTACCCTAGAGGTAAGTTAAATACACCGAGGGACCTTACCACAAACGATTATAACAATTCTGTGTTAACCTGTCTTCTAATTTCGTACGATGAAAAAGCTAGCAACTTTTTGACTGAAAAAGGTAGAGATTCATTGTTCCAGGAAAACAATAAGTTAGCTTTAAATAGTTTTATGCGTGCTTGTGCTATTTATTATAAAATAAAGATACTCAACTTATAACTACCAAATGAAAATGAAAACATAATAATTAATGTTTTAAATTTTGTTTTTAAGCATTTAACTGGCTGATGTTTAAATACACGCGCCCTATGCGTATCCGCCCGGATAGCGGAGGGTGCAGGGGCTAAACTGAACTTCCAGGGCCCAAGCGGTAATACTTCACACTAGGTTAGGTTTGGTTAGTGTTGTGACCATAACGCGCGAGCTAAGCGAGCAAAGCGAGCATGCCGCGGCAGAGGTCGCAGAAGCGCCAGAAAAAAAAATGTAAGACCTTTTCTACAAAAAAAAAATTCAAGTATCACCTCTTGGGCCCTGAAGGACAGTTTTACCGTTGCAGGTTCGAGTCCCCCTTGCTGCCTGGCCCGTATGTTTTTCTTTCTATTGAAAATTTCTTTGTAATAATTAAAATTAGAAATTAGTTATGTAATGTTTTATTTTGTGTTTGCATTCTTATGTTCAAGCCGGAAATATATTTGTCTGTCGTGTTGCATCAGAGGTATCGGTTTAATACATTTAGTACGTTTAAAATTGAATTTATGTGTTGAGACCATACTCACTCTAACCGTACTAAATTTATGAAACCGATATATTTCTGACGCATCATGACACGACAGAGAAATATATTTTGTGCTTCATATTAACGTTAAGCCGTTGGTTCCGGCTGCATCTGCAGTCGTTAGCACCCAACCAATCCGCACAATCCGCACTGGGCCCGCGTGTTGGGTCATGACACAATCTCCCTATTCCATCGATAGGGAAGGCCTGTGCCCCAGCAGTGGGGACATTAATAGGCTGATGATGATGATAATGATTAATGGTGTTAGGTGGTAGCAGTATCCTCGGAGGTCGTGTGTTGTCGATTGCCTGTGAGTCCAGCGGCCGCATGTTCTGGGCAGCCAATGATAAGGTGCGTGTCATTGTACAACGATAATGTAAGGTAAGTAGTTAGGAACTGTTACACTAGGTCTAGGGATGCAACATCGTTCTGAAAAACATCGATATTTTAAAACATCGATGTTTGCATGAAAAATCGATGTTTTTGCCGATGTTTTATATTTTTAATAGGATGCTTCATTGACCATAGCATTAACATATTTGATTACACTAAACACATTTTATTACATATGCATTTATTAATTTTGAATTTAACAATCTTGCAACAGAGTAAAGGAAAAAGCTAAGATAATGTAGACCCTAACAGCCTATTTCTTTGTTGAGTAATGGTTGCTCTAGCTTCAATGTTTATCACCGATGCCACGATGTTTTACGAACATCAATGTATCGTTTGCATCCCTAACTAGGTCCCTGAAAACACTTGTCTTACAAAATACCTTTCAACCGGGAGTTACTTTTAAATATTATTAATCATTACATGTGTATAACTGTGTTAAGCTCTGTAAACCATCAAATTTGTTTGTCAAATATTTAGTACTGTCAAACAAATCTGATCGTTTAAGGCTATGTTTGATGCACTTGATAAACAAACTATTTATTTAATGAATTGCACATGTACAGTATAGGATCTTAAACAATTATTTTAGCATGGTACATGACCCTGTAAGGGTGTTGCAAGTACAATATCTATATTTAGACAACTATTAAACAGTTTCAAACAAGTTAGTGAGTTTTCCGTGACGGTTTCACTTATCATTCATAAATTCATTTATCGAATAGTATGCTATGGCCTATTACTACATGAAACTTGAAGTTTGTCAAACAAATTTGATCGTTTACAAGGCTTTTAATTTTGAGGAGCTCGATGGCATACAGGTAAGCTCAATTAACAAAAATCTCGAGTTTCTACGTTTTTCGGAAAACATTTTAAGTCGTTGTTTTTTTAAGCTGCATCTGCAGTTGTTAGTACCCACCAAACAATTAGGGCGCGTGGTACCTACGATATGATCTATTACTAGTTGTGCCCCGTGGTGTTACCCGTGGTTTATTAGGGATGTTTTCTCGCAGTAAAACGTAGCCTATGTGTTAATCCAGGGTGTTAGCTAACTCCATACCAAATTTTATTACAATCGCTCCAGCCATTTAGACGTGAAGGAGTAACAAACATACATACTTACACACTCATAAACTTTCGCCTTTATAGTATTATAGTGTGATTCGTATTCCAACCAAAGAGAAGGCCTGTGCCCCAGCACCAGAGACACTAAATACTTAGCTGACAATGATAGATACTCATGTATAAGATTTTCAAATAGGCAAGAAATAATTACTCTATATTGTTATTATGGATGTTTACAAAATTATCTGAATCCAAATGTGACTAGGGGTATTACTTATTCGCAAGTAACGGCAAAAGTAACAGCATCGTTACTGTACTGTTACTGTCATAGTAAGGACCATGAAGGTTACAGAGAAGGAGAACGATCGCTGTAGAAAATAGCGTCCCAGAAATATGAACAAAATAAGTGAGGCGCTGCGATCGCTAAGTTGTCTCAATAAAAGTGGGCTAATTTGAAATTACCAATGCCGCGAAGAAAATTTGTACATTATTTAACTAACTTCATCTACTTGTACTCATAAACAGCTAACTTCACAGATACTATTTACCGACTGCAGCGCGGCTGGTAGCTGAAAAATGAACTATAAATTACACATTTTTTCCGGGACAGGCGGGCTAATGCTTTAGTACGTAGCGATCGTTCTCCTTATCTTTGACCTCCATGGACTAAAGTGAGTTTTGTTGTTGTCACTGTCTTTTTTAGGCAAACAAAAGCGACAGCATTAGTTTCAGTCCAAGCTTAACTTTTGTCTACATTTTGTAAGGCTGTCAGTGTTTAACTGGTCTGTCTGCCTCTATCGCTGTTGCCTTCAAACAAGGGTCAACGTGACATATCTCGTGTCAAACTTTCGTAGGGTTTAAGGAAAGCTAAACAGTAAGAATACGACCCCCTATTATCGCATGCATCATTGTCAGCCTGATAATGTTCCTCCTGGGGTACAGGCCTTCCTTGTGCTTCCCAGTGCAGATGCAGCTGGGACCAAAGGCTTGTCGTGTCGTCAATTATGAAAGTTGCTTCTCTTCCGTAATCGAAGATGGGAAGCGCTAACTATTACGCCATCGAGCTCCTCATCTTAATGTTTGCGCAGACGAGGGACTTATGTTAACTAGTGGAGTACTTGTACGCTATACGTGTGTGTTATAGGTTGCAGTAAAGTAAGCGATCTATTTTTGCGGAAAAAAATCTCCGCTGATAAAAGTTTCTCGTCTGCGCAAGCGTTTAGAGTACTTATCTAAATACCCACTTTACGCTTTCCGAATACTAAACATTATCTCTTTTTTCAATTTCAAGTTCCGTATAACTGCTTAGCAACTTATACACCTATATTTCTCTCGGGAATCTCTTCTTTAAAAAAAAAAAGATCTCGTTTATCAATATTAGATTCCCGAGTAAAATATACCTACCTAGATGTTTTGTTTTTTTTTTGGTGGACGGAACGGTCTTTCCGATACTAATATTTAAGTATTGACAAATTACAGGGTGTGATAGTGAGCTACCGTATGGAGGGCGCCGGGTGTGTAAGCAAACTGCGGCGATTTTGTGTGGGCGGCGCCGTCACCTGCCTCAGTTGGAGCCCGTGGCTAGCCAGACATCCCGCCCTGCTGGCCAGCGCGGCCGACAACACGCTCTACCTATTCAGGTAGACACATACACACACTGTAGCCGCCGTCACCTGCCTCAGCTGGAGCCCGTGGCTGGCCAGCGCGGCCGACAACACGCTCTACCTATTCAGGTACACACATACACACACTGTGGCCGCCGTCACCTGCCTCAGCTGGAGCCCGTGGCTGGCCAGCGCGGCCGACAACACGCTCTACCTATTCAGGTACACACATACACACACTGTGGCCGCCGTCACCTGCCTCAGCTGGAGCCCGTAATTGGCCAGCGCGGCCGACAACACGCTCTACCTATTCAGGTACACACATACACACACTGTGGCCGCCGTCACCTGCCTCAACTGGAGCCCGTGGTTGACCAGCGCGGCCGACAACACGCTCTACCTATTCAGGTACACACATACACACACTGTGGCCGCCGTCACCTGCCTCAGCTGGAGCCCGTGATTGGCCAGCGCGGCCGACAACACGCTCTACCTATTCAGGTACACACATACACACACTGTGGCCGCCGTCACCTGCCTCAGCTGGAGCCCGTGACTGGCCAGAGCGGCCGACAACACGCTCTACCTATTCAGGTACACACATACACACACTGTGGCCGCCGTCACCTGCCTCAGCTGGAGCCCGTGACTGGCCAGCGCGGCCGACAACACGCTCTACCTATTCAGGTACACACATACACACACTGTGGCCGCCGTCACCTGCCTCAGCTAGAGCCCGTGGCTGGCCAGACATCCCGCCCTGCTGGCCAGCGCGGCCTTCAACACGCTCTTATTTATATTATATTTTTTTATTTTTAATTGAAACTCCTTTACGCACGCTTGACTTGGAGGGTAAGCTGGCGAATGCGTTACACGTTACGAAAAGTGTGTTCGGGCGAGGCGAACGGGAGTTGAGTGGGGGATATAAGCAAGAGAAAGCAGTGCGCGCGCACATTTTCCTTCTCTCTTTCTCTTAAAGTTAGTAAATCAAATATGTATTTGTACATACATGTTTATAATGTACACACATATATATACAGATGGAGCTAAAGAAGTTTCACTTCAGTCGTGTGGTCATAAGCACACTCGTTTTTTTTGTATTTACAATTTTTCCACTTCTCAAACAAGTGAAAGTCCTCTCAACCTACCAGGATAGCAGACCGCGACGGGAGCTTGTGTCTAAAGAAGCGTTTCGGCACCGCGCACAGCGAGCACAGCGTCAAGTCGACGTTCTGTCCGATCATGTCGTTCCGGCGCGGCGTGTGCGTCGTCACGGGCGGCGAGGACGCCTGCGTGTACTTCCTGGACATCGAGGGCCACGCGGGACAACCGGTCGTCAACAAACTGCAAGGTAACTAATTGTGTTTTTTATTATAGCTATTAACGGGATTGTTACCATTAACCTTGTTTTTTATGAGTCTACGATATTCCAAAAATCGCAAAAATCAAAAATGTGTCGTTCCACGATCTGATACTGTGAGTATTGTGTGTCGGGAACAGGTGCAAGTGAATAGTGAGAATATGACCAATGGTAGGGGTATCGAGCGCAGTAAAAGACGATGTCAGAGGGTAGACCGATATGTCTGCCAATAACATCTACCCGCAATTACTTCAGTTACTCCGTGAACATGGCGCTTGCAGCAGTGCCCAAATATCGGAGACTCATAAAAAACAAGGTACATGGTAACTATCCCGTTAATAGCTATAATGTTAGTAACCATGCAAGTTTAAAACAATATGTGTTTTTTATTTTAAGCATAAATAATTTTGAGATTATAAATCTAGAAAAAAATGCTAGAAATAACCCACTCAGTGGCATGTACGTCGTCATCGGGGGGGACGCCTGCGTCTACTTCTTGGACATCGAGAGCCACGCGGGGCAACGGGGCAGCCGGTCCTCACAAACTGCGAGTGACTGCTTGTTTTTTTTTATTTTTCTCCAATCGGCCACAGCATGCAGGAATCGATTAGAAGTGTGATCATAGACCGTTTGTATGAGAGCCGATTTCGCCGGCTCGCCCCATACACATACACTGCCGTCTAATAGATCAAACGATCGACATCAGACAATAGACCCAATCAGCGCTCACCCCAGAGCAATGATACAATCACAACCAAGTTTCAGTCAAGTTATGAGCATTTGCTCACACTAAACCGTGCCGCGCCTGCCCCGTAAGGCCCTTCTAATCTCTTTCTGTATTCTGTGATGCGAGCACAGCGTGAATTCGACGTTCTGATCATATTCCGAGCAAGTGGGACTCGGGTTTCAGGCTGGATCTTGATCGAGTTGATTTTTCTAGTTAACTGTTCGTGTTTTATTATTTGACGACCTCCGTGGTGGAGTTGTGTGTACTAGGGCTGTTAGGGATATTCGCTTCCGCAAATTTCAGTATTCAGCAAATGCTGAATATTCGCATTAATTAAAAAATGTTTATCCGCAACCGCACATCAATTGGTGCGGAGCTTTTACGGATGGGGATTCATATCAGCAAGTAAGGACATCTAGGAAAGTGGGAGGAGCCAGAATGGTACATGCTTAAAATTATATAAAGTAAGACTGAAAACTGCTCAAGTTTTATTCTAAAAATTTATATGATTAATAAAATTATTAATATTAAATCGATTACGTTTATTTATGAACTTCAAATTTAAACGCGGATTTCATATTTTTTGCATCCGCAACAACCCTGCCCTGGTATGTACCTACACCAGGTCACGGAATACATAATAGTATCTTACTACCTAAAATTAAACAAATCGTCAAATCAGGAATTTCTTGTGTTTTCTCGTTCTTTCCTTCGTGATTTGGCCTCGTGTGATAAACCTACATTCGTGTTTTTTTATACTCCTCATTATATTACAACAGATGCGTAAAAACTATTAAAGGCCCTTTTCAGCGCCACAAATTGCTATCAATACGATGTTAAATATTTCATTCGTACATTCATTCGTTAAATAATAAAAAGTCATTTGCTATAATTTCCAAGATTCATTGAAATGTGGTTTTTATATAGTTATTCAATAAGGAGGATCCTTCAATAGATACGAGAGAAAAATAAGCGGTGCTTTCATTCAAAGTTGCACAACGTGATTTCATTGAGTAATTATAAATATTACACTAATTAGTGCTATAGAAACTTTAGTAGTTATTTTAGAACCTAATTTAAATCAGGCACTGTGATAATTGCACATTCAATCATTAATGTTTTAAGATGACACAGGAAACGAGTTTCAATGGAAATTATTTATCAAAAGAAATATCCCAATGAATCATATATTATTTTCATGTAGAGAAAAAACAACACAGTTTTTAGAATTACTTGTATTATAATTATAAAGTAATCACAAGTTGGGCTTTCAATCAATAATGGGAATCCCATATTAGTAGCTCTGATATTATATATGGCGGGGTTTTTAATGATGCAAAACCTCATAATATTGATAAAATTTTCAAGTAGAGGTATCACGGAAGTCCCTAAAGATTTTTTGTATCAATATTATTCAGATTGATGATTCATAAATCTACCTTCATTAGTGTCGGTCAAAATAAACATAATTAAAATGATGAATGAAAGATGATCAATTAAAAGAAATAGGTGTAATCGATACGACTCTTCATTCTAAATATAACATTTGAGATAGGTAACTGTATTCAATGTACAATCTAGTGATTTACTTTGGGTCCTACTCTCATGAACTGGTTACCCTTAGCACGAATTAATATCGAATTCGAATATAGTAGACGAATTCGATCACGATACGCGTCAAACGTCAAACAGTTTTGTATAGGAATTTGAACAGCACCAAAACGGGAGTATAGATCGCGCCAACTTCTAGTCCGCTCTGAAGTAGTTTCGCGCAGGTGTACAGCCCTAAACACAACCTTCGTCCCTTTAAATACGAGCTACGACGCGAATTGTGCAGTGTTCAGAGCGGACTAGAAGATTGGCGCGATCTATAACAAGAATTAAAAATATTCCATTAAAACTTTTTGACATTTGACGCGTATCGAGATCGAATACACTATTCGAATTCGATATTGGTTCGTGCTAAGGGTAGTGTACCCCAAGTACGAACGCCTAGCGGGGAAGTGGTAATATCGCCATCGTCAAGTTTCTTTGGGAACTAAAAAGCGTCCCTATCGGATGTGAGAACAAACAACCTCCTTCCAAAGAAACTGTGACGATGGCGATACGAATACTTTGTCGCCAGTTGTCCGTGCTTGGAGTAATGAACACAGAATATTCATCATGGAAAGCTCTAATAAAAACAAGCACGTAAAGATATTATCATTGCACTCGCATTACATGCGATCGATTCGATTATATTAAACGCCTAGATACCGTATTAACTGCACAGAAACGGCTCAAAAAATATACATCTACTACATATAGTAGATACATTTTTTTCTAACACATATATATATATATTATTTTAATTGTTTGTATTTTTAGGCCATAAATGATATATTGTAAATTGTTTACTTCCCCCATAGGACGGCCTTCGCCTAGTATGGGTGACTGTTATATTATTTTGTAGCACTAAGTAAGCACTGGTATCGATTCTGGCGTGATTCTCTAAACTTAAAATTAAATTTAACATCAGTCTCTCCTTGTCAATCTGCATAGAGAATGACAAGGATGCACTGTTGTCAAATTTAAGTTTAGCTTTAGAGAATCATGCCAGAATCGACATCACTGTAAGGCTTGTGTTATGGGATACTAGGGTAACGGATGGAATACATATACATATAAGTATATTTATATAGAACTACATATTAAACATCCATGACTGGAGTACAAATGCTTGTATTCATCACACAAACATCTGCCCCCACCGGGATTCGAACCCTACACCTCTCGAGTCGGCGACACCATGAAACCCGGCGTAAAAACCACTCGGCCACGGAGGTCGTCACACAGTGACTGCTTTCAAACAATCCGACATTAAATTCACGCACACATATTCGCATTGCTTTACGTGTATATAATCAAATGCACTTGTATTGCCGAGCGGAACGTAATTATGGCGACATTATAACGTGTTTGTGGTCGCAGGGCACGCGTCGCCGGTGCTTGGAGTCAGCTTCAGCTACGATGAGAGTCTGCTGGCCACCAGCGACGTGTCCGGCCTCGTCATCATCTGGCGTAGGAGTTGACCCACTTCTTTACTGGACTCGGGGGCGTATTTTTCCTAGGGAGAGGGGCAGTAGAGACCTCATAAAGGCATTCGTTATTCTTGGCCTATATTTTATTTTGATTTACTAATTCTAGGAGGGTGGGGTTTAATTCGTAAGGACAGGTCCACGGCGCCACATTTAAAATTCGCCCCTTACAGGACTAAAGAATGCTACGACTATGCGAAATCCAGTCGGCAATAATATGATTTCTAAGGACGAGCTCAAATTTGTGCGATTAGAAAAGCTATTGAAAAAAAATCCAAATAGTTTTTAGGGTCGTGCAGAACTCCAATATATATTCCAATGATACCGAGTGTTATGAGCATGTAAAGTGAAACCGTAGTCATCATAATGAATAAATAATGACAAATATGAATAAACATGTTGGCGAATTAATGAAATAAAAATATATGAATCTCAGTTATCAGTTTTATTTTAACTAAGAGTAATCACAATGAAATGTTTGCCAATTTTTGAAACTACCAAAAGGTAACCCTGTTGATGTGGCTGTTCATCTGATCATACCACGAGTGTTTGAGTGCACAAACAAGTTTGGCTCGTTGGCGTTGGTGCCGGTTGCACCTGTAGTCGTTACACCCAATAATCCACTCTGTTCTGCGTGGTGGGTCATAGCATAGCCTTGACCAGCGCCGCCCATTTCCCATCGAGATCCCCACCGTTCTGTGCAAGTTTATTGAACAACCCTAAGGATCGTGAGCAGTTGTTATAATGAACGGTATTTGAGAAGCGCTTTCTGTGAAAAATCTTTATTCTGAGGAGTATATAAAAATCATTTATTTCAGGTAAAATAGCCATAGTGTAGTTTAACTTTTGATTTATGATTCAATAAAAAACGTGCTTTGAGTCATAAGTTTTATTCAGTTATTTTTTTCATAGAAATACTTTTAAAAGACTCGACAAAGTCACAATATGAAATGACTTCAGATGCGTTCACATTCACTAAATACTGCTGACAGCTCATACAAATCAATAACAACTTACAAACAATAAATATCATAATTATTGGACAATTCATTATTTATCTTTTTTTTGTAAATAGTAAAACAACAAATATTTTAAGGTGGATAATTTCTATTAATCAAAATGTTTTAAAAAATAATTCATACGTAACTCCGAGACCACAGATTCACTCATGCACAATGTATTTAATAACTTTGATACTAATGAGTTTCTTTCTTATTGTTCCGCGAGTAAGGAAATGAGATGCAGATATCATGTTCTCACATCGCGGAGTAAACTAAGCGATCAATATCTGATGCTCTCCTCCTACAACATAACAAAATGAACATCTATTTACAATAACTGTACATTAACGAAAACTTTCTAAAAACTGTAAAAAATTATGTTCAGAACAATAAACATGTAGTAATCAATAGATTTTTAAAATTCAATTTTCTCCTTCTATAACATTAAATTATATTTACAGCAGTAACTAAACAACTAAAACGCAATGATATGGAAATGAGAAGAATTGCACATTAGGTTCACACTTGGACGTATTGCATACTATATTGATGACATAAATTAGTGGCACTTATTTTAGTGTACAATCGAACACAGTAACATTTGGGCATTTAATTATATATTAAGTGATCTCTTAATTAAGGATTAATCCGGAAAATCTGTAGTACAATAAAAAACGTGTTCAGACTGTAAGTTCCAAAGGTAGGTTCGACCCAACGTTACTGGTCCCGAGTGTACGTTATATACGCAATGTCGACTTTCACCACATCTCGATAAAGCTAATGCTACACTTATCTAATATAAACTTTTACTTAACTATGAATTGGCTTTTTAACCTCAAACGCTTATAGACCGAAAGGTTACAATTCTAGTTGTTCATAGCTCGAGGTTCAAAGATGGAAGATGTATACTCACTTGTGCGTAGAGCTATAGTAATAATAAATAACATAATTATAGACATAGAATTTTGTTGCTCTGACCATGTTCCGATTTTTACTCTTATGTGGATACCATATTTTTACGATCATATACTTGACAGTCAAATGTTAGTGCTTCTCAATAAGCGTTCAATTTCAATGTCAAATTTCAGAAAGATCTACGAAATCTTACAGCTCCCCTAAACTTAAGAAGACCTAAAGTAATATTTCATGATTATTTTGCCGTGAATGTACGGGCGATCGGAACATGCGCATGTGAGCTTATGAGAATACATTCTAATATCAACACTACGACAATACGAAATTAGAGTAAAAATGTATCGTATGAAAGTTTTAGCTAAAGTTTGGGCGGTCATCGTGGCACGACGGGATAGGCCAGTTACGTATTCGACAGTATCACCGAAAAAAACTCTGATACATCACAATTTATAGTAACGCTAAGATCATTATCAAATTGTCTTCTAAACGTACTGCATGTAAAACGTATCAAAGTACTTGGTTCGTAACAGTAATGGCGGTATTGTATGCTGTTTCTTTATCTTTATATCAACAGCCGGACTACCATATTTGTACCATAATATTTATAATAAGAAATCCTATGCTGCGACAGCTGCCTCACGGATAGAGAAAAGCGACTATGCAGAACTTTACCAGGCCATTATTATTGAAATGATCACTTTTGCCAATATATATAATGTCTTATTTCATTGATGGAAAAACGAATGACTATCATACGAACGATGCCTCAGCCGAATATTTCATTTTCCGATATGTACAATTTGTAGTAAACTTAAATTATGTTATTAATACAACACCATCGGTCGGTATCGGTAATGTAATACTTTGTGGATATTATAATGGCTAGTTCACCGGCGGAACTGAAAACGAAACAACGCATAACATCAACACTCGATCCCGGTGTCACCTCGCACAATATGAAGCTCTATTTCAACAAAATAAAGTTCAGTTTTGCGAGTGACCAGAATCTTAAAGAGTCGAGATGCTAGTTTCGAGGACTACAACAAAAAACTTGTTGGTGAACGGGCGTTAATATCACACGGATAAGATCTATACAGTAACAAGTCTACAGCTAAGTTTGTTCTCGATTACGAAACATTGGGGGTTTTATTGCGTTCGAGAGTTGCTTTGGAGCTGCTCTCGATGCCCGAGTCCTCATCGCCGCTGTCGAGCACGGTGCCTTCGCCCTTCACAGGGTCGTTAACTTTAGGGCTCTCCGCTTTCACTTCGGCCTGTTCGTGTTCCACGTCGTCCGTGAGTATTATCTTCTGCTCTGGCTCGAGTTTCTGCGCACCCTTTCCGAATGTGGAAAAAGTCGGTTCCGGAAGCGGGAGGTCCTCGCATTCCTTCTGCAGAGGCAGGGCGCTGGTGACCACTGGAGTTTCGTCGGTCATCACTAGCGGAGTCGTTCCAGATTCAACAACCTTCTCATCCGCGATCCTGTGCCTTTTAGGTTTGTCCAGGACGAAGTTGAAGACCCTGTTGTGTCTAGGTGACGGGATGTGAGGGCTGGGGGGTAAGTCCAGTTTCAGTTTGTCTCTGGTGTGTCGTAAGCCGCCTAACGCTTCGCCTCCGGGAGAGCTGGGGCTGACGGATTCGCTGGAGCTGCCGCTGTCGACGGGTCGCCAGCATTGAGAGATGTCTTCGGGGATTTTCTTCGCTTTGTACTCGTCGTCTGCGCTGGTGGAGCCGGGGGTGATGTCTTCGACACCCGAATCTGGTGTAGTGAAGTCCAGGGAGGGCGTCCTGGTTTGTATTAAGGTGGCGGTGGGGAGGGGCGACGGTGGTGGGGGGAAATCCTCGGTGACGTCATCGGACAGTTCTCGCTCGAGTAAGGAGCCCTTGACGTGCATACCGGGGAAGAATTGGCTCGTGGTCGACATGATGCCGAGGCTCTCGAACGGCCGCGCCGACGACGATATGAAGAAGTCATCGTCGTAATCTGTCATGAATAGTCAAGAAATAGCTAAGTTTGTGCTTTGCTCTACTAATTTTAATACGATAATCGCATTAACTAAGACTAACAGAGGTAGGAAACTACTTGAATTACCGAAAATAAGCATATCGCCTTAAAATAGCAAAAATAATCATACCGAAAGTGATACCGGATCGTAGCGGATACATATCTAGCGGGTTGGGGGAGCCGAACAGCTGACCGTAACCTAACTCGGCCTCTTCAGAGCTAGTCGGGTCCCAGTCTGAAACAATACGACAAATCATCACTACTGAGATTAATTTTCTTATTTAATTTTCTAAATATTATTTATAGTCCTGATTTAGGCTAAGTTCAGATAGTCGCACATCGACGTGCTTAATCGCGCATCACAGGAGTTCAGATGACAAGTGTGTCACACACGGCTACCATCATCCATTTCTGCTACCCCGCAACGAGTTCAAAGATAAACTAAACAGGCCGATATTTGACTATAAGAACTCAATAGGAGCAGCGCCTATCGCGCGTAGCTGCAAGTGAACACGCGAATACGCGCAATCATCTAAACGGTCCTTCCACGAAACGGAAATTCCAGTCATACATAGGAATGTATGACTGGAATTTCTATACGTACATTCTTATGCGCGTCGTCGCGCGGTCATCTGAACTTAGCCTCATAATGAAAAGGACTTGTGTTGGTACTATTAAAAATAAACTTTGAAATACGGTTAGTAAATACTAACACATACTACTTCTCGTTTAACACACACACAAAATGAACATAATAATGATTTAGAACTACTTGACCTGAAAAATTCTAATTTCGGCTAAAAGGCTATAACTGTCGCAACTATGGCGGTTGTAAAGTTAGCAGCGAGCACAACCATGCGCAGGTAACAATTTAGTATATCACCCTACTTTCATTTGGTCCGCCGCGACTTGCGCTAACTTCACAACCGCCATTCAGTAGATTCGCTCTTTTGTAAGCCTAATGTTGGTTACTTGTGTAGGTGGATGGATTCGCTCCTTTGTAATCATAATGTTGGTTACCTGTGTAGGTGGATAGATTAGCTCCTTTGTAATCCTAGTGTTGGTTACCTGTGTAGGTGGATAGATTCCCTCCTTTGTAATCCTAGTGTTGGTTACCTGTGTAGGTAGATAGATTCGCTCCTTTGTAATCCTAGTGTTGGTTACCTGTGTAGGTAGATAGATTCGCTCCTTTGTAATCCTAGTGTTGGTTACCTGTGTAGGTAGATAGATTCCCTCCTTTGTAATCCTAGTGTTGGTTACCTGTGTAGGTAGATAGATTCGCTCCTTTGTAATCCTAGTGTTGGTTACCTGTGTAGGTAGATAGATTCGCTCCTTTGTAATCCTAGTGTTGGTTACCTGTGTAGGTAGATAGATTCGCTCCTTTGTAATCCTAGTGTTGGTTACCTGTGTAGGTAGATAGATTCGCTCCTTTGTAATCCTAGTGTTGGTTACCTGTGTAGGTAGATAGATTCGCTCCTTTGTAATCCTAGTGTTGGTTACCTGTGTAGGTAGATAGATTCGCTCCTTTGTAATCCTAGTGTTGGTTACCTGTGTAGGTAGATAGATTCGCTCCTTTGTAATCCTAGTGTTGGTTACCTGTGTAGGTGGATAGGTCGGGCATGTAGGCGGCGGGCGAGCGCGCGTCCACGTCGCAGGCCTCGCGCGGGTACTCGTACACGCAGTGGTACTTCTGGCGTTTGAACACCACTCGCTTCTTGTTGTCCTGTCGTCACAAAATAATTCATTATATCCTATATAGTCTTCACTCAGAGGCGTATTTACCCTAGGACCTACAGGGCCATAACGCGGAAGAATCTCTAAATGGGGATCCCGCGGCTTCGCAATAAGCAGCTTAAGGGGTATTCGCAGGGTTTTTTAGCGGATAGTAAGCCGTTAAGCGAGCTCGTTAATGGCGCGGGTTACTATGGGGGTTAGCCCCATCGTGCCCGTGACGTTTGCGAGTGCTGGGTGTGAGGTCCGCTCGGCGGTGTGCCTCTTAAAGGCGCCTTCGGTAGTTTTCCAATTACAGAGCATAATGCGACTCAGTGGCGCACAATGCCGAATTATGCTGATGCTTAATTGGAACGTGAATTAGTTTTCAAATGCACCAGCAGAGTGCGCTAAATTCAGTGTTGAAAAAAAGTCAATGTTTGTATCTTCATCCATACTTACATTGTTTTTTTTTAACACAGTTTGAATTAACTTTGATTATTTAAAAAAAAAAACACAATGAAACGACAGCTTTAAAAAATTATCAAAAAATTAATAACATTACTAACGATTTATTTAAATAAAACATTTCGATCAATGCCAACTTAAAGAAAAAACACTTGTTAATTTTCTGTCACTGAGTTGGTACGATTGCACGCATCACACGAAAACATTACTTTTGAGAGTGCCCGATTGTGCGAAGCGTTGCTGTAGTTGAAACATTCAACGTGAAGCATTATGCCGCATAATATGCTCTAGTGCTGTAATTGGAAAACTACCTTAGTCTGCAAACAGAAGTTTTGCCTGCGTCACAAAAAAACGGACCTAGAGGGAGGGAGCAGCTGGAAGAGCTACGAGGGACGGCCGAAGCCATATAAAAGAATTCGGTTCCCGACCGATACTTTCATTTGATTTCCCAATACTAGGGGGGTAGGAGTGCAAATAGTAAATGGCCCAAAACGACAGATTTCAAAATTTGTACCTGTATTCACGCATATGGAAAATATGGAAATGCGACAATAGACCGTGGATTGATGAGGAAATTTACGAAAGTCTAATTTACAGAACGTCTAGAGATCATTCTGCATTGATTAAAACAGCGATCAACAAAACCAGAATTTTATTTGTGAAACGACAAGGTAGAAATTATTTTGTTAATAATACTACTCCATCTTAAATACGAGAAGATTAATCAGAGTAGCAGAAAAGTGAATGGAGAATATCGGATTCTCTTACACATAACTTGTACTATCAAATGCTAAGCACTTAAGCTGTAAGCATAATGTAATGCATCTGAGCGGATATTTTTTTCAAGGGCATTCGATACCCTTGATCATAGTATCTTAGTAGAAAAGCGCAATAATACAGGTATAAGAGGTCCCGTATTGACGTGGTGCGCAGATTATTTAAAAAATAGATCATTCTTTGTTAAAATAGGAGATTCAAAAAGTAATATAATACCTGTTAAAGAGGGTACAGCACCAGGTTTGGTGCTTGGCCCACTAAACTTCATAGCTTTCGTGAATGACCTGAATAATGTATTTAATTACTGCTTATTCTATTAATATGCAGATGACACTTGCCTTATACAAGCAGATAATGATGTGAACAGTGCTCTTGAAAAAGTGCAACGGGTGTTTAATTTATTAAATATGTGGTGCCATGACAACGGACTTGTAATTAATGCCAGTTAAACGAAACTCGTCAATACACGCTCAGTATTCACAAAGACGTACTGTGAAACAAATACATAATAGGTTAAAAGCTTATAACTACAGCTGTCTTCGCGTGAATATACAGCAATGCTTCGTCCTAGTATTGAAATAGTAGATAAACATACTCATTTCGGGTTGATTGTAGACTGTAATAAGTACTGTTTGTGATAAACTTACGAGCTTTCTTGGCTAATATAGTGATTATCAAGAAGAGAATTCCTCACAAAAACTGTAATATTTTTTGAGCAACCTATAGATAATGTAAAAACGAACCGGTCCAGATGTTTGCGGCACGATCCCATTCCCTCACTTCGCTTTGCTATTCACCTCTTGCTCAACACTTGTAATGATACTTGTAAAAATAATTGAAGGTGTAACTAACTAACCACCTTGATATTATGGTAATATAATATTGAATCGTATTTGTACTTATCACACCGGACAAATCCCTGCGATTTGTGGTGTGCTTTTTAGCTCTGTGGTTGTTATTTTTGATAAGAAATCAATAAAAAAAATATATATGTGGCCGCCACAAGATATTTTGCAGAGATCTATGCAATGATAATGAGAAATAAAACATTGATCACATAATTACATATATATGACAAAAGCTAAAACTACGCATTCTTTACACCCAAACAAGTAATATTACAAAATATTATACGTGGGAAAATATTTGTATATTTAAGTTAAATAAAATACATTTTTTCCAGTACGCAATTTATAGCGCGGCGCGCTACTGTGGCGCTACGCAAAGAATGTGCTTGTGTGTAAGTGCGTCGATAAAAGTTTTTAAAAGACGTTTTGAAAATATAAATGTAAAAATCTTGAAAAACAAAATTTGACTTTGACCTTTAATATCTCCATAACCATAAATTTCTCAGGTTGGGTTCAGAAGAAAAAAATGATCGTCATGATGTGGAAAATAGGTGGCCTTCGATTTCGTTAAAGGGTTTTTTACACCCTGTATAGAATACTGACCGGTGTAGCTTGCTCAAGGCTCCTCAGCGAAGACTTGGCCGGTGCAGCGCGGCAGTCCCACGAGGATGGCACGAACTCCACCTCGTCCCCCTCGGAGCCCGACCCGGAGTCTCCGGAGCCGGACGACGCTTGTTCCCCGCCGCCGTTGTCCGCGCTCGGCTCGGTGCCGTTACCGCGTTGCTATACATAATTCAACCTATATGTACGGTGCGGCGAGCGCGAAATTGCATGCGATGACACTACAAAATCGTGTCCATTAACGGCCAGGTGACAACGCGCGAATTTTGTCAGCTCCATAATCGTATCGCAGCGTCAAAGTTGAACTTTTTCCACACAAAATTTACAGATGACGGTACGGAGCTGTCAAAATTCGTACTTGGGCCGCAGTTTCAATAATAAAACTCAGAGATAGGTCTATTAGAGCTTTAATGGTGACGATTCTGGCATGAATCTCTAAACCTAAACTTAAATTTGACAACACTGTATCCTTGTCATTCTCTATACAGAATGAAAGGGAGAGATTGATGAATTTAGTATTCAGTTTAGAGAATCATGTCAAATTCGACACCATTGCCGAGATATTTTTATTATTTACATTTAAAATAATACCTGTTTCTACCCTTACCTTTTGTTGAAGGTTGATTATTGAAACTGGACGTTAATGTATGAAGTAAAGGAAAATTACAGCATGCGATGGAATAGACATTATATAAGTGAACGAGTGGGATGAGTATACGTATAAGGAAAGCAAATAAAAATATAATGGTTTGGTGAATATCGTAATAATATAATCATGAAAAAATTCTCTTATATAAAAAAAACAATAAATGAAATAAATACTATTAGTTAAAATATAATCAAGTACAAGCAATGCTAAAGTTTTCTTTTACTTGTTATTAAGTTCTTATTCCATCAGTGTTGAGATTTTTTCAGACATAATTAATTAATAAATACTAAACTATTTTCTATCCTTTAAAAGTTATAATAAAGTAAGTATCTAAATCCTTGATAATTTGAAAAATAACATGTGAATAATGAATATGAATGATATAACAGTGTTCTGTATGCGTACCGAGACGCATGCCAACAAAGCAGTGTGCTATCAGCCGTCTTACGTTTTACTAGGACGATGAGAAATAATATAATTTTGAAATGATTAACATCACAATAAAGCTAAACAAATCAACCGGCAAGCACTTCAATCCAATTTATTGCTGTCCATTATAGAAGCCATACATGTGGTTATATAGTTGCGCAAGTTTATGATGATTACGTATCTTAGAAGAAAGGATCCATTCTTTTCTCCATACAACTCTACCTAATTTTGTGCCTCAAGTGTATCATGCATGTATGTGTAGAAAAATACGCCGAATTCATAAAAAAATATAATCATCATCAACAGCCTATCTTAGTCCACTGCTGGACATAGGCCTCTCCAAATGCACGCCACTCAGATCGATCGGAAAAAAATATAAATGGAGTTTATTATCTACTTATACCACATAAAAGTGTCGTTCAAACATTGAAATTAATGGCAACACAGATAATATATTATGGTAAATCTACATCTTTAAGTTAATAATATTTAGCTACGGAAATCATGAGATTGTTTATACAAGCAATGACAATCAAAGAAATTAATTTAAATCGATAGTATTAGCTGCCATCTGTCAGTCATTGACTAATTGCGTCAAGGTTATAATGTTTCTATATATGCAGATTCCTTATTTCAACTCAGATTTCCAGCATTTTTTATTGAATTTGTTCCTTTTGGCGCTTATTTCTTTTAACACATGTTAACGCAGCGTATCGCTGCGTGTATGACTACCCTTAAGGATAATATTTGATAATTATTGATACTTTGTGTTTAATTATTCAGGAAGGAATAAATATAAACCCCAAACCCATAAATAGGTCCCATCCCATAATGATGAGATAGGTCCCATTAATGGGTTTTGCGGTTATTTTTAGCATTGAATTGTTAGATTTTGATATTTAACAAAAATAATACATTCGTAATGAATGCGAAGCGAAAGATGTTTGTAAGGACCGTTCTTTATGGTACTTTGTCATCTCCGCCTACCCAACCCTTTTATAAGCATTCGCCTGGATACTGAAGGTTTTTGGTTGCTTTTTTCCATCGCTGTTAAAATATTCTATAGGTGTCATTGAATTCTTTGTTTGCGATCAAGAATGAATGTGAGTGCAATGATGTCATGTTCATGTCATGTCGAGTGGTATGAACATAGAGGTATAAGAATACAGTAGGGGGGATATATAGACTCTACTATAAGTCGAAGTGTCCCTCTAATAGAAAGAGAAAGAAGATGAGAGTCGGTCAGCTTTCTCTCTCTAATCGCGCATGCGCATTGGCAACCGTAAGCATCTTACTATTTCGATGTGATGCCATTGGATACCATGCTTTACAATAGAGAGAGATAGCTAGCTGTCTCTCATCATCTTTCTCTTTCTACTAGACGGACACTCTTTTAGAGCCGCCTTCCCCACTCTATTCTTATACCTCCATGGGTATGAAAGCAAGCCAGCGAACGAACGACAACCGGATACGTAAGACTTACGTGCTCGAAGTGAGTGTTGGGCACGAGCGCGGTCTCTTGCCCGTCGCCGCCCTATACAGTACACCACACACGTACGTACAGTACACACATGCGGAACACCCGACACCGATGCGCAAACATTTATAACGCATGTACAGTCTATCAACCGCACTCAGAGACGACAATGGGAATGATGACAATCTTTTTTTCTTCTTTGTATATCAGGTAGACTGTTAAAAAATATTGGACAAGTATTTTCTCTTTATCAACATAATCAAAACATTACAAAGATATATCGATTTGAAATGTCGCATGAGGTCACATCTTGGTACATTTTTTACTGATGTCACAAACCCATTCCCATATTTTCACGCATTGACGCACGCAACTTTATAACGTTTTGATTGATTGACAAAAGAAAAAATAACAGTCCATTATTTTTTGATAATCTAACTGGCGGACTAAATAGAATTTTGATTTCTTTATCCCGCCGATATCCCCACTCTTTTAAGAGATTTTTTTTTGCGATACTGACCAATAGAATAAGACAGAGAATAAATTCTTACACGCACAACGGACCAACTATGGTATCCACGTGCGGGAACGAACCAAGTAAGTACAAGAAAGCCAAAAAAATATTAATGAAATTAGTTTAGCGTCTCTCTGACTCTTCATCCGCATAAAGGCCATTCTTATTCTTTTATAACGCTCTTGACTTGTGTTTTGCACTAAACGTCCAAAATCAAAAAAATACTAATAAAACTCCCGAATCAAAAAAACTTCCACTTTGGCAAAACATAAAGGATTTGTTTATTCGATGTTTAGGTAAAGTTATTTGACAAGTAAATTTAAAGACACCCCGTGTTGTCACAATATTTATCCCAATGGCTGGTTTGGTTTTCTATTATCATATATAAAAAATAACAAGACTGTACATGTTTATAAATATAGAAACAAGGACATTTTTTTAGATATATAAAGCGAGGGATGGTATAAATAATTTCAAATCATTACTATAGACAGTAATCCGGCAATCTTAAGTAGATATGAAATATATATGTAAAGATTTGATTGAGATTGATTGACAGTGCAATATGTTTTATCAACCCATCTACATAAGATTACCGGATTCGGCTTATAGAAGGGAAGGTTACTATGAGAAAATACACTAACTAAGCAAAGGCCACATTACCACATCACCTACAAATGTTGTTTCTGAATAACAACAAGATATACGAACAATAGTTAGATTTAAATTTATTCCTCATTAACAATAATCACACAAACGCTGAGCTAAGCAGTAAAAAAAACACCAATTTGAATTAAAAAGGACAATGGGCAAAAATGTATGGACGCTGCACCCACGTCCGCCACGACTTAAACTACATTAGTTTGAAAGGTATTATAGTCATGATCATCTGTGCCAAAGCGCATCAAATTCCATCCCGGGGGTTTTTAGTTATTTTAAGTTAAATAGGTACAAGTACTATAATGAACGAATGAACATTAATGAAACTAGGGAATTCATTTAGTTTGTTAATTCGACCCTACATAGAGGGCTCAGGTATTATGGCAGTATTTCACAAGGTGCAAGGGTATCCCCTTATGTTCTTCTGCCGCGCTAGAGTAAATCCAAAAATCCCCGCATGGGTTGGAGTTTTTTCAAACACTCTGTTCCTTATATAAATTGTCTTCTATGTAAAACCGAGCGACCTCAAATGACACAAACTTGCCCAGGTTTCAGAGAAAACATGATTCCAGTTCATCCATACTAATTGACAAAATCGATAATCGTGTTCCAATCTTAGATTAAAACAAAAAGGGTAGATACGGCACTAGCCTCACAAAAGTGATCCGCATAAATTGTGGCCCAAGGCCACAATCGCTTTAGTCACAACTTGACATGCAAATGAGGTACATGTGAACGTTAAAAAGAAATATTGCTAAAATTTTGTGATTATAAGATAAAACAATGTCTAAGTGTTGTTTTAAAAAGTGCTCAAATTGCTCAAGTACTAAAAATAAAACCGACGGCATCACTTTTCATTCGTAAGTACTATAAAATATATTTTTTCATAAAATGCTGTTTGTTTTGAATCTTATTCTGTATTTGTTATTAAGAAAAAGACAACAATACTTGTAAACGTTTGTATGAGGGAGAAAAAGCATAAGTGCGAATATTTGCCAATGTAATGTCAGTCGAGAGTAAAAATTGGGTAGAGTCAACAAAAAAAATATTTCGTAATTTTTTTTTGGAATATTAATTTATGTAGGTAAAAATATGCTGCATTTATTAAACTCATTACATTTTGGTTTCTTCGAAGAGGTTTATTTATTTTTTCAGACATTTTAGCTTTAATATACTCTGTACTTACAGAAATGGCGTTTTCATTCTTTGTAGGGTTTAAAATTGTTTTTGTAATCTTCTTCTTCTTCCAGTGCCTCTTCAATCCTGAAGGTTGGCCGTTAGCTTCCTGTATGTAGTTCTATCAGCAGCCAGCCGGAACAACTGTTCGACGGAGGCAATACCGGTCCACTCCCGGATATTCCGGAGCCATGACTTTTTTCTTCGCCCAGCACGTCTCTTTCCGTCCACTTTGCGGGACATATGAACGCGCTGAAGCACGGTTTCGTTCCTGACCCTCTGTGTCCAACTAATGCGTAACATGCGACGGTAACACCACATCTCGAATGCCTGTAGGCGTCTTGTAGTGTCTTCTTTCAGGGTCCACGTTTCGCAACCATACATGACAATAGGCCAGATATAGCCATTTTATTTATCGATGATGATTATTGTTTTTGTTATTTAATTTTACCTTTATATTTTTTTATTATTTAAATGAATAATTTAAAGTATAGTTTAGATTAGATTTATAAAACAAGCAATTCATGCTTAGAAGAGAAATATAATAAGTGTTTCGGATTAGATTCTTTTAAATACTGTAGACGATGAAATTTTCCAAATCCAGCAGTACCTACTTTTAGTAGGTACGCTTGTTAACTGATTTTTTATCAGGTGATATAATAATGTGTGTCAAATCAAATCAGTTTATGATTAGTATTGAAATATAATAAGTGTAAAGTTTCTAGTAAAAATTGTATCTCGATTAGATTCTTTTAAACACTGAATACAATAAAAATGACCACATCCAGCAGTATAAGATACCTTAAAAAAATGTTGACGTTATCATGTAAAAAACCTACTTTTAGTAGGTATACTTGTAAACAGTTTCATTCCCTCAGCTTTTCAAAGTAGATTGAAAATTGCTCAATGTGGATTTTTTTTATTGAATTTTAATAAAAAACTTATATTTAATAAAAAATACTTTTATTTTTTTCTCTGACGCTACTCTGTAGTGACGTCGAGTACTGGTCGCGTGATTGGTCGGTAGCGCAGTGACGCGGATCTCGCCGTCTCGTTCGCGCTGCAGTTGAAAGTTAACGTGCTGTTTCGTTCGGGTCGGTATTGCAGTGACGCCGATCTCGCCGTCCCGTTCGCGCTGCCGTTGAAACTTATATTGCTGTTTCGTTCGTTCGATTGTATCTTTACAAACAGGTGAATGTGTGAGTGTTGCATATGTAGTAAAGTGGGATCAGTTTTTGTTTGATGCAAGTAAGAGCGTACCGTATCTACCCTTTTTGTTTTAATCTAAGGTTCCAATGTCCAAAGCGTGTTTGATAAAAATCAATTAAGTGACAGGCAGCGCACAATCACAACGAAGTAACACGAGTCGCCTATTTGCAACTGCAAGTCCTTCAACCCCCGTAAACCGTTTTGAGTTGTCTCAGTACCTAAGTGCAAGCGCAGGATTTTCGGCAAGCTTTGTCGTATATCTGGTTATATAGTACGATATTGCATATTATTATGGTTACTAATAATATCAAATGAAGGTACTATAAATTGAATTTATTTAGCTGTTTAAATATGCCCATGTGTCACATCTTTTGACTACCACGATATTTTTTACGGTGTCATATCTTTTGATTACCAGGATATTTTTTTGCGGTGTCATAATAAAAAAGGCTAGTTTTTCATAAATCTATAGATTCATACCAATTACATTGTTGGCGGAGCTGGGTGTGTTTTGCCCATTGTCTTTTAAATCTTTTTAGAAAATATCAAGTTTACTTATTATTTACTTTACATACAGTTAAAAGCTTCTCAAAAGACTAACATTACGTACCTTCCATATGAATTCGCCGCTAGAGGAATTGGTGGAATTCGAGTCGCTATCGCTGTCCCACTCTTTCAGTATGTCGGCGGCGACGTCGGGCTTGCCGTCCTGCTCCCTCTGGGGTGAGGTCGGCTCAGTGGGAGAGTCTTGCGTGAACGATGTACTCATTATTTCTGAAGCTGGACCTTGGTAATAGAATCCTCAGTTGCAATTACAGAATTTTGTTATTCACAACCTGAATAATATTGTTAACTATTTCATTTATTGTAATTTGATATAACTTATTTGATATATGGCATTGATTTCTTTATTCTCACCTTTATTACTTGTATCATAAAATGAATGATTCAATTGCAACGTGAAAGATATCTGTATTCTTAGTACTGCATTCGTTTACAACCAGGAGTGCCACTGCATTATATGGTAAATGTAAGGGATTAAATATTATATATCCCTTACGGCATTCCAGCATGGAAGTTGCTAGAGATGACAAGATAAAGACAAGTAAACATTACGTATTGTCAAAACATTCCTCTAGCCAATCCTTAATGGATTTGGTTGGGCCTTTGATGTCCAGAAACAATAGTGACAGATTGCCAATTCATTACCTACAACTATTTTTGATGTTGCTTTTTCTGTCAATAGACTTACTAACAACTTTGTTTGCAGTTTTCCAGGAGGGGATAAATATCGTATTAAATTATAATATAAAGACAATAAAAAAGGACTTACCAGTAAACCGTATGTCACTCAGTAGAGGAAGATAAGCGTCAAGCTGACAAAACATCTTCTCATTCTGTAAAAAATTCTCCGTGACTGATGTTAATTTCTCGTCTTCAGAATCGTGTACACCATTGGTTTGCGTTTCCATTGCTAGTTCGTTTAACACTTTCTCTTTGAAAACTTCATGAACTTCTTTTGATGTACCGCTTTTAAACTCACTTTTATCTTCACTTTTCTGCTGACTAGTCTCACTAATATCATTTGGTAAGTCTTTGCTTTCTCCATCATCGACATTGCTTTCTGTGAGTTCTTCAAAAGTCTCATTGATAAACTGAACAGTAGCGTACTTTTCGCTGCTACCGTTGCATTTTATCTCTTCAGTATCTTTAGCTGATGTATCATCTCCATTATTGGAAGTATGTGCAGTTGCATCCGCCGCTTGAACAAGACCTTCTAGATTATCACTAGCTTTTTCTTCTTTTCTTTTTGATGGTTCTTCTTCAATTGCTTCAATTTTGGGCGAGATATTTTCAAAGTTAATAGTATCATCAGTTTCTCTGATGCCATTAACTTTTACATGTGATGAGTTTGCGTCTGGACTCTCAATATTATCTCGTTTTAAGGACTGAGTTGCATGAGAATCGTAAGTATGATTAAGGATCTGTGCTCCTGTATGAGAGTCGTATGTTCTATTAGGACTTTCTTTAATAAGTACATCATTTTCAGTTATTATAATCGAATGAGGTTGTTCAGTTTCATCTTCAACATCTGATTGTATGAAGAAATTACTTGGAGTTCTTGGCTTATCTACGTATTGAGATTCAATTAAATTCGTATCATTAGGCGGACTTACATCTAGAGATTGCATCGGTTCATTATTGTTCAGTCGGGTGCCAGATTGACTAGTCTGTTCTAAGTCTGTAGAATCAATTGTTGCCAATTCGCAAAATTTTCTCTCACTATTGAGTAGTAGAGAGCTAGCGTCGATCACAGACGATAAATCTTGAGGGCGATTTCTAACTGAATTTTCGAAATTTTTAAATTCTTCAGAGTTCATTCCACTATCCATACTTTGACTAGACCTGTCCGTAGAATGGACATCTTGGGGTTTATACATCGCCGAACTTTCGAAATCGGAATAATTCGGCGTTCGGTCGTTCGCTAGGGTATCATGGTTGCTGTTTCTACTCAAAGTTTTGCTATCTCCTTCCAATAAAATTTCGGTGTTCTGACTGTTGGCACCTTCATTTGGGGAAGACAAATCTTGCGGTCTCACTTCAGCCGATTGCAAAAACGTTTGAAAGTTCGGTAGTTTGTTCGTTATGAAATCTGGAGTTATATCGTTCGTGTCGGGTAATTCCATAGGTATAGCTTCATCGCTATTATATTCTGGCACTGCTTCGACCAGAGGCGTACTGGTGACTGAAGGTGCCATGTTTTTATACTGGCTATTTGGGCTATCGACGACTTCGACCTCTACAATTTGATTAGAATCGTCAGATTTGTCATGACTTTCGGCTAAATTGTCGTGAAGACAAGATATATCAACGCTATCCATTTTATTGATACACGGTTGTGTTAATATTTGTGGACTTTCATTGATGCTGTCTTTCTCTTCAGCAATCTTTGGAGGTGCGACGTCGATGTTATCGCCCATCGGTGATCTTCTGACCATTTCCGGTTGCTGCATTTTCCAAGGGTCCTCGAAGCCGGAAGCGACTTCTGTCGTGCAATTGGAGTAGGATGGCAGACCGGACATCAGTGTACCATATGCCAGATCTTTAGTTTGAGTATTCTTCGTGGAGTCTACATCTGATTTAGTGATGATAGACGGCGTAGCCCCGGTGACTTCGGTCTTCGCTTTCGTATACGTGTTATTATCGTTGGCCGTAATGGAATCTGGGGAGAACGTCTCGCACGCTTCGGATTTGCTGTCGTGGACTATGTACGTGGAGCAATGGCTCAACTCTTTATCTTCGTCGTTATGTGTGAGAGTGTGGCTGCTTTCGCTGTGTTCATCTTTCTCAAAGTCTAGCGGTACATCTGGGTCCATTGCGAGATCATCAAAGTTCTCTTCTACGTTGTATAGTGTATCGTTGGAGCACCACGAGTCGATGCTGGTGGCTTTCGAGAGGCACTGGGTTTCGGACGGTTTGGAAGATTTCGCGTCTGTAGGCACCGTCGTTTTCGACAGCGTGGAAACTCCCGTGCCGTTGTCGACGAAGTCCGAGTTGTCCGTGGTTGGACTGAGTATGAATGGCGACACTTGCGAGATTCGCTCGCAGTTGGACTCTTTCTCGTCGTCGTGTTTTGTGTACGTTTTGTCGTCAATGGTTGTGTCGATAGCCGGTTTCTTGTGTGGGCTGGCGTTCAAGCTGTCGGCGCTCATCGTGTCCCTGCAATGGGCATAAATAAGCTCATAACTAAGTCAAGGTCAAGTCAGTTGGTAAATTTTGACATTAATAGTGTTTTTATTAAGTAGCAATAATAATTATGTTTTGTTACAAACAATAGATTATAAGTAATATTATAATGTGTAAAAAAGCAACGTCCTGCCATGTTCTGCTAGGAACTCACGGAGTTTTCGCCCGACTGAATCACCGATGCTTGTTGATAAAGTCCGATTTTTTTAATGACAATTAAAAATGTAATGCGTCATGGTAAAGATGAACGATAAATTTTGTGGCGATGTAATAAATTTCACTTTAATAAAACAGCTCCACGGCCGTCCGCGGCGAGTAAGTGCCTGCGCTGTGTTGAGCGGGGGCACTAACAATATTAAATACCCTAGATACACCAACACGAACAAAATCGTGGCAGAAACCTGTCCAAAAGGTACATTGAACGATCCACGGAGCTCCGTAAGATGATCGCGTAGTCCAAAACAATATAAGGCATTATTTAAACATTGAAAGTCACCATTTAACGCATATTATATAAGGTCTTCATTTAAAAAGCATGCGTCAAAGAGGTAAAATTTTACGACTTATTGCTATATGCGGAAGAATATAGACCTTATTTCTTTGTCTCTACGCGCAATACTGAATGCGCTGTTATCAAAATAGCAATTACGGACCGCGAGGAAAACAGACGGCTATATTAACTATTAAATCAGTTATCGGTAAGTATTAGAACAAAATTTGCTTCAAATGCGTTAAATTAACAAACATTGATTGAATATCTGTCGAAAAAACGACAACATACTATTAGTACTGTTTTCGTATTTTTCACAGAGCTCTGCGGTATCTTTACTTTTCAACGGCTGCGCATGACTTTGAACCAAGAAGTGCTTGAGTTGTGTTCAAGCACTTCTTGATTGGGACACATTATGAGCGCACGTGGTGTATCTAGGGTATTTAATATCGTTGGGGGAACGGACCGGGCGTCCGCTCGGCGTGTTTGTTTCATGTTATGTATTTCATAAAGCAGCGTGTAAAGCAGATCTCCCGAGCGGCGCTGTTCTTTGGCATGACAGTGGAGCGGGCGTCCGCTCCGTGCTCCCGCTTAACGCAGCACAGACCGTAAAAACCACTCTGAGTTCTTAGCCTCAGTAATCGTATATATATAGACGACCTTCGTAGCCGAGTGGTTTGTACGCCGGGTTTCATGGTGTCATCGACTTGAGAGGTCCCGGGTTAAAATCCCGGTAGGGGCAGATGTTTGTGCGATGAATACGAGCATTTGTACTCCAATCATGGATGTTTAATGTGTGTATCTAAATGAATACATTTAGATATGTTCAGTATATGTATTCTATCCGTTACCCTAGTATCCCATAACACAAGCCTTACAGTGCTTACTTTGGAGCTAGGCTAATTGGTGTGAGTGTTGGAAATATTTATTTATTTATACATACTCGTTGGTGAGGTCGGGTCGTAGAGTGTAAGTGCGATCGTGTGGAGAGTCGCAGGTGGGTGGCACAGTATCCGCCTGCGAAGAACCGCAGGGCTCCGGGTAACTCTCCGATGATATACTCCCTGTGTTATCAATCATTATATAAATAAATATTGTTATTTTTTTTAAGCATTCAACTGTTAGATATTTGACCCTAAAGAAAATTTTACTACACTCGACTGCAAATAAACTAGGCCAATCGTTAGTACCTTGGAACTCTAATTCGATTTTTTCAAAAAGTATAAAACTAACAACTATTAAAGCTATATCTACAGAAAGTGTGTTTCATAATTATTAATATGAGTAAAAATTTATTGTAAAGTACTGTGAACTTATTTTATAATCGAGCAAGAACAGCAATGTTATAATTTTTTTAATAAAGTCGCGATTATCATTCTTTTTTATAAAATGAAGATAGTCTGATACTTCGTATCATTTCCTTAGTTTTTCTCCATAGTTTTCTCAGACGTGAGTATTTTTGCTTCATTCGTTACTTCCGAATACCAGAATTGGAAAATGATTGTACTTGGTTTTATTTAAATAAAAATTTAATTAATTACTTAACCTCAATAAATTCTAGTTCATTTTAATCACCACGAAACGCACCATCTGTAGCTATAACTTTGATAGTTGTAAGTTTTATACTTTTTGAGAATATTAAATCAGAGTTCCGTGGTAGCAAGTGGCCTAGTTTATTTGCAGTCGAGTGTAGAAAAATTTCCACGTGGACTAGGCAGCAGACAGGACTCGAACCCACACCCTCCGCTATCCGGGCGGATGCAATGATCATGCATGCTACTGCAGCCCTACTTAGTGTACATTACACACACATTAATGGAGAAGTTTCATAATGTTGATAATGCTATATTTAATTTAATAGAATTGAAATATAGATTGAAACTAAAATAGTGTTTTTTTTAAATCCCTCAATAAATGATTGAGAAACACATTATTTAAGTTTACTTATTTTATCGCGGAACTATTCGGGCCTTTGACTCGCCTCTGACGTCACATCAACTACATATAGTCGAGATCGTCGCACTCTCTCGCACACACTCGCACCAGAGTGCTTGCGCTGCTTGTAGATATTTTACGTACTGCTTGCTGTTTGTTGATTATTTATACGTAGTTTACTTTTTATTTTAACATAATGGAAGAAGATTTCGTAAAAGGACAAAGTGATAATTTGCCTTAAATTTAAATAAAATATAACAAATTCCGCGCGGCCAGGCAGCAGACGGGACTCAAACCCGCACCCTTCACTATCCGGGCGAATGCACTAGCCAATTATGTTACCGCGGCCCTTGACGGCCGCGTCAAAATTCCTCTAGCTATTCTTAAGCTGCAAGGCAGCGCCACCTCTTCGCATTGTAGGCAACCCACAATGTCAAATGAATACTTTTACAAGTATTAAACATTTGAAAGCAGAAATAGCAATTATAGTTATAATTTTTATTTTTTTTAAGCATGTAACTACTTGATGTTTGAATCTAAAGAAAATATAACTAGAAAAAAATTCCACGAGGACCAGGCACCAGACGGGACTCGAACCCGCACCCTGCGCTATCTGGGCGAATGCACTGCGCGAGTGCGTCTTGGCGGGTGCTAACAACTGCAGATGCAGCCGGGACCAACGGCTTAACGTACCTTCTGAAGCACGGAGTAAATAGAGATATAAATTTTTGGTCACCCATCCAACGACCGACGACTTCAACGATCACAGCCGAACGCGCTGACCATCCGTGCCATGGAGCTCCTCGAGGGCAAGATAATGTTAAACGGAAATTCCGACCAATCCCATGATCGGCGTGTTGATCGCCGTTTTTTCGCCCCGCCCACTTGTTGATCGCAGTTTGCGTGGAACCTCTTTTTAGCGCAATTCGTATTCCATATCATTTCTAATCCGTTGTACTCACATGGCAGATCGTTCTCCACGGCGCAGAGTTGCTGTTTCGTCTCCTCCGGTATGGGGCTGAGGGCGCCGGGGTAATTCACCACCAATTCGGGTGGAGGTGGGAGGGAACCTCCCCATTCGGCTGTGCTCGCAGGCTCTATGTTCGCCACCTGAGAACAATATCCCATAGTTATGATGCTATCATCATCAGCCTATTAATGTTCCTCACTGCTGGAGCACAGGCCTTCCCTGTGGATGTTCGAGATGATAAATTTTTGGTCACTCATCCAATGACTTACTACTGCTAAAGTTGCTTAACTTCAACGATCGCAGCCGAACGCGCAAATTATTTGCGCCATCGAACTCCTCTAAACCTTTTTTTTTGTCTGTGAAATGCCTTACGGATCCTTCAACCACCGGGGGCGCGAGAAGAAGGTATGTGGGACTCCTCCCCGCTCATTTCAGCTAGCCCTAGGGCAGGATGAAATGAGAAGTGCCCTACCTAAAGCCCTGAACAGGGCCACTTAAAACCAGACAATGCTCTTACACCGTTCACCCGGCACAAATTCTGAGGACCGTGGTTAGGATAGCCAGATGATGGCTTATCAATTCCGGGACATTTGCAACCCACGGATTGCATTTACTGAACACGGGACAAGACGCAAAATTCCGGGACAATCCCGGATTTCCCGGCCATCTAACCGAGGTCCCCCCAATGCTTGCCGGGAGTGCGGGCGTGGTAGTGGCACCCGATTTCCTACTGGCCACGCATGATTCTATAAACCGAAAGTTAAATTTCACAACAGTACTCCTTGTCATACATAATGAAAAGGAGATACTGAAATTTAGTTTTAATTTTAGAGAATCATTGAATGATATACGTTTAAAGGGGTTTAAAAACGAGTCTCCTTTTTTAATTTTTTGGCGTTTCTTCTTTACTTTTCAGAGAATCATGCCAAAATCGAAACCATTGTTAACAATATTTCGCAGTCGGGAGTTTTCGTTCCAACACTGGGTTAGACAAAACTAGTATTTTCTTAGCAAAATAAATTAGCTGAACAAGTTTATTATTGTTTTTTTTTACTTATAACGTGCTTAAAATGAGACCTATAATTTTAGCCATTTTAATAACTCAAGCAGTGACAGAACTTTAGATTAGTTTTAAACAATTTAAGAACAACTACTTGAAATTGTCATTATTTTAACTCAATATGCAAGAAGTCTTACCTGCGCTAGAGGTAACTTCAATTCCAGCTCATTGCGCAACGCCTGTACGCACTCCTCATCTATTTCTACTTTTCTTGGTAACGTGCTACCGTTTCCTGCCAAAATAGATTCTTCTGATTCCGTATCTAACAGAAGATTAGATTCATCCGGCATACCATCCCCGGAATATTCTATATTCAAATTGTTCTCGTTTTCCGCCATCGCGAGCTTCGTGGTGATTTGCAATTCGATTTGATTCAAATCCACTTCTTTAGTCATCGCTGGAGTAGGATCCAATTCTAAATGTGAAGGCCCAGGTACAGGATCTAGGTCGATATCGACTATATAACTCGGTTGAGCTGCAGTCGACACTAGGAAAGTCCCCGGAGAATTGGGCGGCGTTAATGGAGACACGCGTTTTTCTGTTTCAGATTGGCAGTCCGTATCGTTAGAAATGCTTTCAGACTGCGGCTCGTATTGCTCGACTTTGATTTCACTGATAGTTTCGATGTCGTCAAATTGTACATCGTCTGGAATTATATCGGGAACTTCGTGCAAGAATCTTCCGTCGCGCAAAGGAGACGGCGTTTCCAAGTTTATGTCGCTGAAGTTGGACGAAAACGCTAAAAGCTCTTCTCTAGGCAAGTCAACGATCTCGCCAGATTTCGCGCCTTTGAATAGCTCTAGCGTGTAGTTCTCGAAAGGGCCCAATACCACAGAGCTGTTTTCGTCATACGTGTCCGTGTGGTGACTCTTAGTAGGGGAGTCGAAAGGGCTCAGATTATCTGGGACGTATCTCTGTTCTAATTTGGTCACTGCCACCCCTGGACCATAATCTGGCACTTTGGTCTCAGACAACAAGACCGTCTCGTTGTTCTTCATCGATGTTTCTAAAGTTTCATCATTGGACTTATCGCTGCCCAAAGGAGTGCTAGAACATAGGTCTTTAAATTTTATGTTGCTACTGCTCACAACCCTTTCATAATGCAAAAACTCATCAGTTTCCTTTATCATACTGGGCAAATCCATATAAATTGTAGATTCGTTTTTCACTAATGTGCAAACACTTTCTGTGTTGGTAGAATCTAAGCAAGATTTTATGGTTTCTTTGACATTTTCATCTAGGGAGCTATCTTTTACAATTTCGCTACTTGCTACGTTAATGAGATCCATATAAACAGTACTATCACTAGATTTTTCAGCAGTAATTGCATCATTTTCAGATCCAAATGTTACGTCATCATTACCAGTAACATCATTTTGTACTTTTGATTCGATTTCGGTAATCGTTTCTGTACCCATTTTTTGTACTATTTCAGGTGACGATTGAGAATTTGCTATGCTTTCGGTGTCAACATTTATAAATACATTGACTTCAAGAGGTGATATTGGAACAGCTTGTTCGCTGTTATTAGGTTTTTGTACTGACTCAGGTGCTTCTGGTTCAAAATGGTCTATGGCTTCTGTCATCCTGCTACATATAGCTTGCTTTGCAATTTCTGTTTCGCTATGTTTTAATGGTTCCTGTAATGTATTTTTAATTTCATTACTTATTATTGTTTCGGACTTCATTACATTATTAGATGTGTCTATTACATCTTGCTGCGTATGTTCGAAATCTTCCTTCAGATCTGTAGCATTTTCACAAGATAATGTAACAGAACTGATATCTTGCTGAACTTTAGATTCTAATTCCACAGTATCTGGCAAAACGTCTTTAGATTTCTCTATTTCTGCTTCTTGATTCTCGCTCTCTTTATTTTGATCTGTTGTTACTGCTTCTAAGAGGTTATTAGATCTCACTACATCATCTATTGACTTAGTTTCAATTTGCTTATCATCAGTCCTTTCATCTGCTAAATTACTATCACACGATCTTAAACAGTCTTGGGTCGCATTTGTTATTTTATGCTTTGTTTCACTTATACTAGAGGTTGAGGCTACACATAGTTCCTTTAACATGGGTATTTGACTATTATTACTCACTACTTTATTTTCTTTTGGCAATTCAGTTTCCTGTGGCAATGGTGATATTTTTCCTATTTCAATAATTCTACTACTTTCGTTTTCTATTACTTCTTCTACAATATGTTTACCGTCAGGTGTAATATTACTGGCTATATCTAAATCTTTGATAGGTGTTTCGGGAGTTAAGTTTTCTAAGGTTTGCTGGCTCAATGTATCACTGTGTCGTTCAAACGAATGACTGAGTGTGCCGATTGTTTCACGATCGACCTCATCTTCTACACACGTTTCGTTCGTAGGCGACGCGGGTTCGATACCGGATTCCAGAATATTCTGGAAATTGTTTATACCCGGAGATTTTACCATATTAGACTGCATAGGATAGTCCTTTTTACAATCCAAACTCAGGTTATCTCTCGAGGGACTGGCTTGATGGCTGGATTCCGAGCTGGACGTTTTCTCGGAATTTAAAATATTATCGAGATTCTTTATAACATCGCTGACGTCCTTGTAATAGCTGACGTCATCCTGGCTGCCGGCTATGATCTCCTTGAGCCAGGGATCCATGGAGCTGTCGGAGCGATCGTGATCTTGGTCCGTATCTCTGCAGTCTTCAAGGGCTATATTGCCTTGATGGCATTCGAGGACGGCCATTTCGTTGTGAGTGAGGTAGATGTTGCGGACGTCTTCCAACGAGCCGTGGAGGTTGGTGAGACTCTCGGACTTGATTTGCACTGAGAGGGGATCTTTGTCCGACATGATGCTGCTGGATCTCGAGACGGCTGTGTCCATATCGACGCTGAGGGAATCTTGAATAGTAGGGGGGTTGTCGAACTCCTCGGAGCCGGTGAAGTGTGAAGCCATAGAGGTGGAAGGGGCGTGTACGATGGCCACGTGCTCGTCTTTGACTGGTATGGAGTTGGGTTTGAGGCGCTGCCACCGTTCTTCGAAGTCGCTGCTTCCGTAGCCGTCGTCGCGGGATGAATCCGAGGCTCTGGTGTGAGTCGTATACAGGTGGTCGAGTAGTGCGTGCACTTGGGCGGAAGTCGGACGAGATTCGGGGTCGGGGTTCCAGCACAGCTGCATTACTTGGTACCTGGAAATTTTAATGATGTTAAAACCATTGATTTTAGCAGATAGTATCATATATGTACCATATTTATAATATAAAATTAATCGCTGAATGTGTTGCTAAGCGCAAGTCTCGAGAACAGCTGAACCGATTTCGATAATTCTTTTTTAGAATATTCCTTGAAGTACGAGGATGGTTCTTATGCAGAGAAAAATTTAAAAAAATGCCTGAAGAAGTCCAAAAACAGCACTTTTCTATACTCCCATACAAACGATTCGTAATAATATTTAAAAGTCAATTTGAACTTTTATACCATACCATAAATTTCAAATGTTAGTGGAGAGGTTCCAGAAAGGCAAAACAATTGAGTGACGTGATGTCAATATAAGTTTGGAAAAGGCAAATATACCATTTTCAGTTTTTTTTATAATTATATAAAGTCATTTTATTCTACACTACAGCTCTACACTGAAGCGAAGCGAGGGCGGGCCACTAGTAAATAATAATTATCAATCGTAACTTTAATATCCCCACTGCTGGGGCATAGACCTCAATTATTATTGACAGTTTTATGGACTAAAACGATGTGACCTGTACCGTGTGGGTGTTACTTAAGTATCTATAGTAAGACTGAAGAAGAAGCCCATATCAATGGATTTACAAGGTTTCTAAAACACACAGGAACTCGAGATATAAATTTTAATTTGTTGAGTATTCTTGGACCCACTTTTCCTACTTCATTATTAATTCATTATTACTATTAAGAAGCGAGAATAAATATAATATGCAGCTTCAGCCTATTAATGTCCCCATTGCTGGGGCACAAGCCTGCCAAACAGCGAGAATATACTATGGCCGGTTTAACATGCCTACTCAAGGAACTTGTACATTTATGGTCACTGCCATCTTCAGACCGGCCTCTGGAAAAGTTCCGTAGCTTCCACTATCGCAGGCCTAACACATTTAGCACTATGCCATCACATTCCTCACATAAAATCTTATAAATTTCATGTTAAACAATCATATTCATGAACTAGTGACTACAGATAAAAATAAAAACATCAATGGAAAGTTTTGCTTTAAAGATACCTACACATTCATAGGTTTATGTATTCTACGTTACAAACATAATGATATAGAAAACATATAAATTAGGGAAATATACTAGCGTCCCGATGTTCTCTATCAACCGACGGGACGGGAACAATCGAACCCTTATCAATGTCAGTCTTTGTGTTACTGGGATGACATCTTTTGAAACATGTGTTACAAATATTATAATAGATAACGAACCGTTAGTTCCGTTTGAAGATATTTTACATATATATTTTATTGTTATTTCTTTTTAACATTATATTAACAGCGTTTTCTATCACTAACTAAAACTTTCAATCAGGTGGAATTTTTAAGTAACAATATTGGTGAATAATTCTACAAAAAGATTGTTTACTACTAAGAATTTCTTTTTTATATTTTACGGTTCCGTACCTCAATCTATAAAAACGGAACCCTAATAGCGTCACTCGGTTGTCTGTTTTTCTGTTACACACACAGTCATTTGTTCGGAATCTACTTATCCGATCCAATTGAAATTTGGTTCATACTAACCGAGGACGGAAGAATAATCTCAATAACCGTTATGTACACCTAATGGAGCTACGGCCCTTAGTTCGAAAGAAGAGGCCGACTTACTGGTCAAACTCTTCATCTCCAACTCAACCTAGGACGACTGGGGAGCTACGCTTCCAATAATTCCCCATTGTGGAAGTTCTGTGCCTGAAATCCGCATCACCTTGCGGGCGGTTCGGCGAGAACTTATGCAGTTAAACGTTACAAGTCGTGCCTGACGGCAATGCCGTCACGGCATCCCTGCTGTGATACTCAAGCTATGAGCCCCAGAACATACCGCCGTCCTTGTATCGCCTTTCCTATGAATCCGACCCGATCCGATTCCCTTCTGCTCCCTCGCTGACCCGCGCCACAATATTTATCCCGGCAACAATCCCAAAATCCCGATATTTCTTCTCGATTTGGCAACTCTTGTCGGCCCTTCGCTGGCCCGCGTCCCTATAATTGAGTGCGGTGTGTATCTGGTAAGGGCAGGGCTGGCCCGCGTCTCCATAATTGCATTAAAAGGCGTAGTGTGGTACATAATCACAGATGGGCGCGGTAAGGGCCCAGAAACACTCCAGTGCGCCCAGACTGAGCCCCTCGCTGGCTCGCGTCTCTTAACCTGCAGTACGGTGCAGTAATCTTACAGATGGGAGCAGTAAGGGCAGGGACCCCACGACCACACCTGCCACACCAGTGCGCCCAAACTGAGCCCCTCGCTGGCCCGTGTTCCTATACCTGCAGTAGTCTTATAGATGGACGCGGTAATGGCAGGGCAGAGCCTCCACGACCATACCTGCACACCAGCGCGCCCAAAATGAGCTCCTCGCTGACCCGCGTCCCTATACCTGCAGTATACTCACAGATGTCTGGATTATACCGACATTTCATGGGATGTCCAGACTACACATATCGTTTACCCTGCGCCACAATATTAATCCTCCCGGCAACAATTCCAAAATCCCGACATTTTATAATACGATTCCGATACATAGACTTCTCGATCGGCAACTCCAGTCGGGCCCTTCACTGGCTTGCTGCTGGATCTGTGTGCGGTGTGTGTTTGGTAAAGACAGGGCTGGCCCTCATCTCCACAATGGGCCCCCCTCAGGTGTAGTATGGTAGGACGCGGAAGAATCCCTAAACGGGAACCCCGCGGTTTCGCACTAAGCAGCTTAGAGGGTATTCGCAGGGTTTTTTAGCGGATATTATGCCGTAAAGCGCCCGTAAGAGTTGCGGGGTTCTCAGTGGGCAGCCACTGCGGAGGCTCGTAAGGCTTGCGGGAGCCAGTAGACCTACTCTAATTCAACGAAAATCGAAATTTCGATCGAAACTTCGCACTTTTCTTACTATGTTTCTGGTTCGTTTTTAATTATAATAATATTCGTCGTCGGAATACAGATTGAGGTGTAGATTTTCTAAGCCTACTCAAAGAAAGCTTCAATTTGATAGTTTATCGTTCAAATAAAGTATAACCTTAAATTGACGAAATTAAATTTCGTTTGAATTTCGCTATCGAAAGTTCGTTTCAGAGAAAGGGAGTAGACCCCCAGGTGTGATGTTCGTTCGGCGGTGTGTCTCTTAAAGGCGCCGTCGTCTGTAAACAGAGGTTTTGCCTGCGTCACAAAAAAAAAGGTGTAGTGTGGTATATACTCACAGATGGGCGCGGTAAGGACAGAGCAGGTCGGGCGGCGGCGCGGGCGCGGAGGAGGGCACCCGCCCCCACGACCACACCTGCCACACCAGCGCGCCCAAACTGAACACCTCGCTGCTGGCCTGACAAAACATATATATGGCTTAGTTTTGTTGGGTTTACTTTTGTTGGATCTCTTTTGCATATGTCTCACTTTTCATCTAAAGAGAAGTGGGTGTGGCTGCAAACCAGCGATGCCCGAGACCTTCCGTAACGAAGCAGTTTATGCTGAACAACATCCATTTGCACTTCACGCTGTCATGTCGCATTATACTATGTGTAACACTGTGAAATCAATAGAATATTTATATTCTATTCTTACTTCGCTGGCTGCATTTGAAAACCTCAGGCGGCTAGAAATAACAAAATGAAATCGTAAGCCTTAGCATTTTCCTAAGCATTTACGTTAGGCGAATGGCCCCCAGAACCTCTTAATCATGTGTGATCTCCTGGTACTTTTCCCGAATAATGATTTTTTAAATGTATGTAGGTATGTATTTTTAATAACAATTTCATTTTGATCTTATTTTGTTATATCAGTATTAATGGTTTCGTAAAATAGAAAAACAATAGTGTCGTAGAACTTATTTTCGGTGGAACCACTGGTCAATGGGTACACGGTTCAATGTTTATTCCGACGTAAATGTGATGTCAAATGGAACTACGGAAAAAAACGGTCCGCTTCAGTTCCGTGGTCCACCCAGGTGAACCAAGGGGCACATATAGTTACCATGTGGAGAGAAGGATTGCGCCTTGTCTCTGGGGCGAGGACATCGAAATTGGGCTTATGATGATGTGTGTAGTGGATGGGTGATGGTACAGTTAGGTAAGTATAGTATAGAGGAGCTCGATGGCGCTGGTGGTTAGTGCTTAGGGCTGCGATCGTTGAAGCTAAGCAACTTTCGTAGGGGTCGGTTATTGGATAGGTGGCCAAAAATTTATTATCTCGAGCTCCGCGTGTTTTGGTATCTCAAGCCGTTGGTCCTAGGTGCATCTGCAGTCGTTAGCACTCACCAATCCACACTGGGCCACTCTCCCTAAGACATCCATAGGGAAGACCTGTGCCCCAGCAGTGGGGACATTAATAGGCTGATGATAAAATAATAAAAAAAAACAACACCAATTAGCCTAACCCCAAAGTAGTTAGGGTAACCGATAGAATACATATATAATAAGTATATTTATATCGAAATACATATTAAACATCCATGACTGGAGTACAAATGCATCGTATTCATCACACGAACATCGGCCCCCACCGGGATTCGAACCCGGGACCTCTCGAGTCGGCGACACCATTAAGTCCGGCGTACAAACCAATCGACCACAGAGGTCGTCAATGATGATGGTATAGTTACCATGTGGAGAGAAGGATTGCGCCTAGTCTCTGGGGCGGCGATATCGAAGTTGGGCTCGGCGCTAGCGTAACTGCCGAGGACTGCGCGCGGGTTCTCGCTTGTACCGCGCACCAACACCGCACCCGTCCACACATTACTGGCAAAAATCGAAACTTCTTGAGTGGGTTGTGATTACAGCAGAAATCACAACTTTGCGCAATAGACAGTTCAGTGACAAAATGTCTATGGTAAACAGCGTTGCCAGACGTCCCGATTTTTAAATCAAAATTAAATGTCCCGCGCGGGACAGGCTCAATCCCGCTTTTCGGGAATAACTCGACCGTGCGTGCATACTGAGAAAGCGCGAGCGGGTGGCACAGACAAGTGTGGACTGGCCACCTCCCGACGCGTTATGAAGAACTCTCAAACAAAATAACTCAACTATTTAACGATAAGGTAAATCTCATTTAAAATATCATATTTTTATAAAAATACATTTTCTATGAATATTTTTACTAGGAACCATCTATAGTCACGTAAACATAATTTGAACTCAAATAAAAAGATAAATATTCAAAAACTTATGATCATAAACTTTTTTTTTTACTATGTCCCGCTTTCGACGAAAGAATCCCGATTTTTTTCACTCAAAAAGTTCCTAAATCTCTACTTGGCAAAAAAAAATCTGGCAACGCTGATGGTAACACCCTGTTCGCGTCTAAATTTCGTTTGTGTATAATATGCGCCACGGAAGATGAGATTTGATGCGCGTCTTTCCGCGCTTCCTATGCTCTTTCCGCCACCCCGATGAGCCCGGTCCCTTCTCACAAACCACGTGGCGCGTCAAGTTTCATCTTTAGTGCCGCGTATTGTACAGAAGAAACATCCATAGAGTATACTAGAAAAAAAAACACGCGGCCCAGGCAGCAGACGGGACTCGAACCCGCATCCTTCGCTATCCGGGCGAATGCACTCACCATTATGCTACCGCGGCCCTCACGGCCGTTTTGAATTTTCTCTAGCCTTAAGCTGCAAGCCAACCCCATCTCTTCGCATTGTAGGTAGCCCACAATGTCAAATGAATACTTTTACTGGTCCGCGTGGATTTTTCTCTAGTAAACTTTTCTTTAGATTTAAACATCTAGCAGTTAATTGCTTAAAAAATAAAAACATAATCCAAAAAGTAGTTAAGTTCCTTATTTACATGCAATTCCAGCAGCTATGAAGTCGACCGCCTGCGCTCGAACTTTGCTACAGCCGCTCGGTTCCGCATGCAAATAAGTAACGTAACTATTTCGTGGTTGTTTCAATTTCCTTCAGCAAATTTTAATATGCGCTTGCGCTGTGCTCCAACGCCCGCCGATAAGTTTTAATCTTAAATTATTGTGCCGCGATTTGCGCTAACTTCAAAGCTTTGAAACGCGAAAAGTTAATAGTACTAAACATAGATATTGAATTAAAAAAATGATTTTTCGAAAACGGTAAGGGTAGGCAGAAGCGAAAATGACGCCGCAAGTCTTTTGCTTATTGCAACGCCGTACTGTGCTAAATAAAATTTTGTATCTTAGATTAACATAAAATTAATAACCTACACTATACAAGACTTACTTAAAAAATATATTATCGTATGAAAAAGCCACATGTGATTCTAATTGAATATTTATTGACATTGAACGTAAAACGTGAGGAAGATCAGAGACATAAAAACATATTCCCGTTCTAAAAAAAGAACGTGACTAAGCCTCATACGCTAATAGGCGATGTGTCAGGCGTAGTATGTTTTATCAGTGTGTGTTTACTTTTAATTATAATAATAAAAACTTCATTGACGTTTATTCATCATGATCCTTGACCTCGCACTGAGTGCAATGTTGCATGTGTCAGCCCAAGGTCGTCATAATCTATGGCGATTTTCTGTGTTTACAGACTATGGTCAAGTAAACAAATAAATAAGAATATATCATATTTTTAATTTCTATTTACGTGTTTATTTCTACATATTATATATGAGGAGCTGGCGAACAAAACGGTATAATTACATAAAATTAAATTTTACAGGAGCTGTGTAAAACTGAATGACATACCTCCAGTGAGCTTTTGGCATGGTTTTTATTTTTATAAATTTAGTAATTTTAACACTGTCTTAGGCAGTTTTGATTGAAAATTATTTGAAATTTAACGCCCGAAACTTCCAGCTTGTAAAAAAAAAGTAGTTTGACCAGATGCGTAATTATACTGTTTTGTTCGCAAGCTTCTCATATTGTTTTGTAAATTAAGGTTATGATAATGATATTATGAAAAGAAAATATTACTAGGAAAAAATCCACACGGACAAGGCAGCAGACGGGACTCGAACCCGCACCCTTCGCTATCCGGGCGAATACACTGATCATTATGCTACCGCGGCCCCGATTGATGTGTCAAATTCTTTCTAGCCTTTCTTAAGCTGCAAGATTTAAACATCGAGCAGTTTAATGCTTAAAAAATAAAAATTATAACTATAATGAAATAAGCAAAGTTCTGCCTTTAATAAGATTCTGTCTTATGATAGCTTTCTTAAGCTGCTTTTTTAAGTATATAATCTACTAATGGAACAAATGCATGCGTAAATCATAAACATCATGGACTGTTTTTATAATTTATTCATTACTATGTTAATCAATAAATTAGTTAGAAAACTCTATAATTTGTTTGAAAAAGATCATAGATACATTTTGTACTTATTTTAAGTTTCTTTTCAATGTCACTTAATTGCGAGAAATTTTTAATTGGTCCGATAAAATTTCTTAAGAAAGTAATGATATGTATTTGAATGTTGTTAATGACCGCTCCTCCGAGAAGTTACAATATGAATTTTTCAAGATATCTTTATCATTATGCAAAGCGAAATTATTCCAACAAAACTGATGAGTGTTTATATTTCCAGAATTTGCCAGTGCCGTGGTGAATTAATCCTTATCACAGTGAAATAAGGTAGTCTACTCACCCGTATAGGAGTCCCCGGGAGTGCAGATGCGCAAGTGCCGCGGTGACATCGCACATAAGCCGTAGTGGTACACCTCCTTCGCTCAAAGCCGTCATTTTTTGCCTATTCGCTATTAAATATTGTTGGAGATCCTGTTAAACAAAAAGTATATTCTTTTATGACCCAGCTCTGCATTGCTCTTTGTCAAATTTTACATATCGCAATCAGTTACAAGTCTATATAAAGCTAATGTATCTAAACTGTTTATGCAAGCATAACAATGAAAGTGACAGAAACTAGTGTTACTAAGGTAGTCTTTCTGTGGGGTTGCCACTGCATTCCTTTGCACAGTTAGCTTTTCCAGACTCTAATTCTAAAATATATGAAACTTTTGTCAAATTTGACATTTGTTGCACCTGAATCGTAGGTTTGGAACGCATCCCAGTGTATTTTGTGTACGGCAGCCACGTAAGTTGTAACTCGTGAGCCGTAGACGGCGTGTGTAGAGAAACATGTTTCAGAAATAAAGATTTGTGTATGTGTATTTGTTGAATGTTTTCAAAAAGCTTTTGCTAGAGACACAGCTTTATAGGAACACAGCGAAGAGAAGTATAGTAATTTTTTTAAAGAAAACATTGGTACTTAAATACAATGAAGCAGTATTATTGAGAGCTCACCATAGGACAAAGTTCATATATCATAATCCAGGGATCCTCTGTGAGACACTTCGAAATGAATCCCAATATGTTTTCGTGCCTGACGTCTCGGTACATTCTGGCCTCCTGCAGGAACCTCGCCTTGTCTTCCAGGGATGCATTCTGGTTGAGTATCTTAACTGCGACTGTGCTTGTGCTGCCTTCGTCTTCGATCTCGCCTTCAACTACCTATGATGATTAGACAAAAGACTATCATCGTCATTCCCTCGAATATTTAATTTATTTACTATAATAAATAAATAATACTTTTATGCCTTTATTAAATAACATAACTTTTTCAATATTTTTTGCTCTACTTCGTATTAAAATTTGTACAATAGTATGAGTCAACTCGCATTTGCCAGTTATTTAAACTCCCAACCACGCTTCCTGTTATTGCTTCCTTTTATAGATAAATAAAAAAAAACCTTAAAATATTATGTTAATTGAAAACAACAAACGCTATCAATTCAAAGATTTAAAAAAATATTAATTTATGTATTTGGCTTTTGAATAGATGTATTCAATGATAATATAGGTCAAATTCTATAAAACGATAACTTACCCTGCCAAACCACCCTCGGCCGATTTCCCGAAGGTACTGCAATCGATTTCTCGGAAAATCTTCACCATCTGAAGGGAAAGGAATGCGATTTATAACAACGCACACCGCACACCCCAAAAAGGCAGGCAAAACAGATAAGCCTATTCTGGGACAGACTATTATTGACAAATTGCCGCACAGCGACCGTGTAGGTAGGTCAAGCGAAACGGGTTTCAATTAGTTAGGCAATGGACTCGCATCTAATCTATCTATGTAATACGTAATGCGACACCGACGCAAACCCAATGCTGACTATTCCATTTCATTTAGGTATCCGATCAATTGCACAACCGTAAAACACTGTCCCTAGACTATTGTGTTACAATTTTTTGGGGGAAATTAATGTGACAATTTATAATCCGTTCATAAACCAAATTGTCTTTATACATACTAAACAGACAGGAAAAATAATAGCCTCAGTGTTTGTCCGAAATCCTGCTCATCAAAAAAAATCATCAAAATCGGTTCAGCGTTTAAGGCTTGAGACTGCAAGAGACAGTTGTAGTCACCTCTGCATTAATAATATTAGTATGAATAACAATAATCCAATACCCTTGGAACTAATGGGCTAGGGGCTTATTTAACTTACGGCCAAAAGGGGCCCAGCGCGGCAGGTTATGAGCGGCGGCTGTAAGAGCTGCGAGAGGCGGCAGAAGCCATAAAGGCATTCCTAACAGGCCCGTATTTTTATTTGATTTACTAATTCTAGGGGGAAGGGGGTGGGGGATTTAACTACGCCCCTGCTTGGAACTAGTACATAACTTACTCACCAAACCAATCCGCGTGCGGCTCCAGTGGATCCGCAACTCTAATATCAGCGGGTAAAGGTTCGAACTCCACGACGGACTCGCGACTGACTCTATTCCTCTCCTCGTTTTCACTGACGATGTACGCGGCCGCATTGTTGTTAGCGATGTTCTGCATCTCCCGCAGCGAGATGGGCCCATTGTTGTTGTCCTCGCTGATGTTGTTGTTCACAGGTTCGGAGAACCCAGAGTCTGGTGGGTTCGGCCGTCTGACGTCGTGCAGGTGTGTCGCACTCGCCGCGAACAGCTGTACAAACATAAAATTAACCTTGTAAAGTTGGCGGCAAACATTTCTATTAAAACCGGGTGCAAACATTATTGTATGTAAAAATGCTACTGCGCAGACTTCGTCGTGGTACGCTATGGGTAAGAAATTCGCGTCAATATTGCACAGGTTAGTTGTTTTTTGGTCTTTATTTTAATTTTGAAATATAAATTAATTAAATAAATTTAATCGTGTCGCATCCGTCTATCAGTTTATTTGCAAACTAACAAGAAACTATTAGCACCCCACTGGCTAAGTATAGTTTTTATTTCAGCAAATTAAGTTCGACCCTTTTTGATGTTTTTACTATTTTTTTTTGTTTTGTTATAACACCTAAAATTCTGTTAGTCTTAAACTGCGAAAAAGAAACAAATATGTATTAGTAGCATCAACGTATTAAAATAGATAAAAAAATACTGTTAATATGTGTACCTAATACTTGCATAAATCTTGTTAAAAACGGACACAATATTTAGTAAATAAACAACTATCAACATAACAAATAAAAAATTAAAAACAGCAAAGAATAACACGTTAATCCATCATATTCACCAAATGAAACAATTACATTAGTTTTAGTACACCACAAAACGTCACAAACAAATGGATTAATAGAAAGCGTGTAATTTTATGTAATAGACTATGTTATAACAAAAGTTACGTGTAAATACGAACACATTGAAAAGGACACATAGATACGTAATTAAATGCCAAACTACCTGATTGTCCGCTCCTCGGTTTGGCTGAAGACAAGAAAAAAATATTATGAGATATCACTATTAAGATAAACTTGCAGAGGTTAATTAATTTAAGGCTAATACCGAAGCATGGCGCTAACATGACCTGTAAAAATACAATTGATCTGCGGGACTTGGCACAATTTAACATTCATAAATTTTTGGTACCACCCTCACCCACATGATGGATTTGATTTTAGAAAGGTAGGATAGATATTTGGAGCGCTTATCCAAGGAAGCAACTTTCATCCTACAGAGTACAGTAAAATAATACCTTTCAGAGGTGTAATTTTTCTGTAAATGAGAGGTTCCAAGGTTCCACTATAGGGTATATTGGGTACAGGCCAATAACATGAGGACTACTGAAACGGCACAGAAATGGACCCCTCTTACACTTAACATCAGATCAGATGGGTTAGGCTATTTGACCCTATGAAAAATAATGTACCAATTGTTGCCATCTGTATTTAATATCAATATTAGCAATTTCTAAAATATCATTAAACAGAAATGATTTTTTGCTCCATGGTCACGTGACGTCTGGGATTGGCCAAGACTAAAATGACGTCACACGCTAGTATATTTCCAGCAAAAGGGACATTACATTGTAAAGTTTGACGTTTTAATGACAGCCGTGTGACGTCACACACTAGTAAGACGCCATAATGTCCAGAGGATCGTTTTCGCGGGAAACTTAAATTTGGGTTTTTATACTGAATAAGGGTGCGGCCAGAGTGCACTCAGATTCAGAGTCAGATTCAGATTCTGAAAACAAGCGCGAGAAATAAACAGTGTAGTCTAAGCAGGTTGCCTGCTTTTTCTCGCGCTTTGTTTTCTGAGTCTGAATCTGAATCTAAATCAGGAGTGCAATCTGGCCGTTCCCTTCGACTACACTGTTTATTTCTCGCGCTTGTTTTCGAAATCTGAATCTGAATCTGAGTGCACTCTGGCCGCACCCTAACACAACAGAATTAAAAATATCCACGTTTTATTTACTCCATAAACATTAGTAAATAACGTGAGATCGTTTTCTAAAACTTGTCAAATACCCTATTTATTACGCTTTCTATAACAACAGTTGGTGGGTAGGACATCCTCTTCTGACGACGCTTAAGACAAACATTCCATTTATCAAATTCGTTCATACAGCAAACCATAGTAAATCCATTAGTAATACAACGATTACTAATAAAATTAATTAATTTGTTACATCAAGGTACGTTTAATTAACTCTAAAATTAATTTTAGCAATAACAATGCGGGTTACGTTTCTTTATCTCAAATAGCTAGTAAAAATCAAATTGTGAAGGATTGTGTCGCCGCTCGTTGTCAGAGTAAGAGCAACCGCACATTAAGCAACTAGTCGAAGCTTAGTGGCTTCGAGACCGACGAGACCAGTGAAAATGGAAAACAAGTCTTCTTTAATAACTGGTCATGATTTAGTTTTTCTTTAAGGGATTATCACTATATAGATCTAATCTGATTGATTTCATATTGATAAAAAAAGTTCTCGCTAAATCCATTTAATTACTTTTTATTAAAAAATAACTGTTAAGAAAATAAATTCACATTAGATCCATAATGGATCTAGCAAGTGTATCGTCTTTGAATATCGCTAAATGTGGTGGGCTTTATTGTAACAGTTTAGTGATGTAAGTGTGGAGTGTTCGGTGTTACTGTAAGGTGACACCACTTGCTCCCGTCACCGTCACCAACGAAAGAGCCGTCAGCACGCAACCCGTGCGAACGGGGCCGCCGACGCAGCTCGCTCGCGGACAATTAATCGCAATTAATTTTATACAATGCACCCGGCTGTCTGTCAACTCCGCCAAACAGAGAAAAACTTAATAAAAAAAAGTATGGGTTTGTGCACAGTCAGTTTGTAAACTAAATCTGAATCTCTCATGTACCATCTGAAGCGCGCGCTTCAGATATATTACACTAGCAGCCGCCCGCGACTTCGTATGCGTGGAGTTAGTTAGAAATAAAGGTTCACTGCTTGTTCCCCATAGGTGATAGAGTCATAATATGTAGCCTATATGTTGACCCGACTTCTTAATAATATTCGTGCCAAATTTGAAGTAAATCCATGCAGTACTTTTTGAGTTTATCCCGGACATACAAACAGACAAAAATTGTAAAAACTATATTTTTGGCTTCGGTACCGATAGTAGATCACACCCCAAGTATTCTTTTAAAAACATATTCAATGTACAGTTTTAACTTTCCTACCATTTTATTATATATACTACAAGATATATGTAAATTTGTAAAAAACTAGTTTTGATTACATTAGAAACAATAATGTTCAATTCCGATGATTATTGACCTTCAATTCATTTATTAGTTATTCAGTGTCGGTAGTAATAGCAATTCGGCTAGGAGGGTCGGCAAAAGGAATATGATTCAAAAGAAGATAATGAAAAACTATGGACAACTATTAAATCAAGCGAAATACTTCGTATATTTGCATGTGATTACTCAAAGGTAATGCATAATTTACTAAAGTCCTGAATGAAACGGGGTTCGACCGAGATGGTGATGGTATTGTTCGCGCCATGAATGGAGTTGACATTGAATGAGCTTTACGGTGCGTTGACTACCAAATCAAACGTGACAAAGGGAGTTCTTTTTTATTTGCCATACCTTGATCTTTATAGCATCACTAAACGATTGATTCTGCTCTAAAAATTAACGCTGTTGGCAATTTTACGATAATACAGAAGCAGCTGCAAACGGTAGTTAAATTACCTCCCATATAGAAAGCAGATGTCTAGTTGCCTTATAAATAAGGTTACCTAAGCTGTTTATCTCATATGGTGAAGTTTACGATCACGAGAAATAGAGCATTCTGATAATTAATAAACACGCTTTATAGTGGATGGATCTTTTGTATTTCTCGTATTATGGATAATAGATAACAATACAGCGATACGTAAATAAAGCATTATTTAACCCCGCTTACACGGAAACAGCATTTTGCTTAGCTTAGACAATCGTTCAACAAAACATCATAATCGGAATACTGTTCCCGTCTTCGACAATGGGTGACAACTTATGGTTGTAAAGAGTTCACAGGAACTTGGAGACTGGATGTTACAACAAGATACATGTTGACTTCGTAACATACGTCGAACAATGAAGCCGTTAAACGTTTTATGATCGAAGTTTCGCATTGAAGTAATATTCGATGTTATACAATCGGAATAAATGCATGATACAAAAGATATTGTGTGCTGCAGGTTGAAAATTCTAATATAGGTACTAGAATTACACAACACCAAGTAACGAATGAATTGATGACGATGTGTGAATGATGTCCAAGGTAACAGCCACAGCATAGATGACACAACGCATAAATAACTATTTTTATTACTGCGAATACCTAAGGTAGGTAAACATCCTACATATATTTTTTTGACAAAAACGTTGTTTATTTGGTTAATTGGTCTGTCACTCTCCTAATTATACATTAAGTTAAGTAAATTAAATATCGTTATCTTTAATCTGCAATAGAAGAAAAAGTTGATATATGGAAAACGGTTAGTGAAATAAAATGAATAATACCTACTCTCTTCATGATAAATTCTAAAATTGCTATTTCTTCTTGCATATGTTTAATGGCCTGCGCACACGAATAACTTGTCATGGACTCAACGCACACGATGTGCGAACGTTTGTCTCCCGAAAAATATAGAAAAAAAAGCGCTTGTGTGCTTTTTTTTGGTAATCAATTAATATTATAATATACTACCATTCATAATTTACTACCATTCGCTTTTTCTAAAAAAAAGCGCACGCTATGGTAGTAAATTATGCTCAGATTACGTTGTGTTGTTAATTACAACGCTTTTCTAAATTTTCGGGGGACAAACGTTCGCACATCGTGTGCGGTTAGTCCATGACTCACCGCACGCAATGAACGCAGTTGTGTTGTTATTAGCAGGAAGTTTAAGATTAAGAGAAAACGTTTTAAAAGAGAATACTGGGTCCAATCCATTAAATCAGATCGATGTGCCTAGTCCAAGAGTTCTATTTTTTTCGGGGACACCCGCGTATCAGTCCTTCCGTCCGGTCTCTCGGTGCCCCCGTTTGTTCGAAGGACTTTTTGTACGCGGTACTTTTAATCCGTCGATCGTGAGCCTTACTCGATGCAATTGTCAAAATAAAATTGATAAAAGTCTTTCGTCTGCGCAGGCAATAATGCTTGTAAAGGTAATTCGTTTAACGATTTGGGTTGCCTAT